CCTAACGACAATTTTTTGTTCGGTTTTGGGTTCATCCCGTCGTCTCCCCAGTCCCCCCAGCAATGTTGTAACCAAAGAAAGCACTCATTTCCACCCATTTTGCGCAAAATTCAACTTTGTTTGGGGTGGGAGGGGTGGGGTCGCTAGTTTTAGTAATATCACTGGAAAGGTGCCAACTATTTTGACCTCCATTGAACCTCCATTCAGGGGACACCTCTATTCAGGGGACACTTGCCTTAGTCCCGAGGGTGTCCCCCGATGAGAGGTTCCACTGCACCCCAAAGACCTACGAGAAGCAGAACTATATTATCAAAGACCAAAAACTACCATTGTCACCCAAAGATCTGCAAATTTTAAAATATTTATTCATCATTCAGGCGACCTTACCCGAATTAGTCGCCTGGCCACCCAGTTCGCTCTGTTGTCCTTGCAGGCTAAGAGTCCGCTGGTGGATGCCGACCCAGCATCTCCCTATGAATGTAGACATTTTTGAAATTATTCAAAAATTAAGTTATCTTTGAAAGAAAATTTAATTGGCAGTGAAAGTCCACTTTTAAAGCAAAATTATTGAGTAACAAGACGCTCTCTCAATAGAACTGCTGCTAAAGAATCCGCAATTTACATTATCTGGTTTCCTTGATTTTCTTCGACGCCTTTTGAACGGGATTGCTGAAAGGGTGTGACCCTTTGTTTTGGCTGCTTGGGTGCCTGGCCTGTGTAAGAAAATGCATCACTGGCTCGTTGGCAAATTCAACCTTTTTTCATCCCGTAAATGCATGCTTTACAGTGAGATGGGACACATCGCTAATGGTTTCTGAAATATCTTTGAAGCACATCCACCACTGGCTGAAACACATGAGCCTTGAAATGCACTGCGTCGTACGGCTTTTTAGGAAGCCCAGTCCCTCCCGGATATGCGTCGCTGATGGGAAACACGTCTAGCACGTCGATCCTTGCTTTGCACATGGCGTGCGTGGCATAGGCGTTAAACAAGAGCACGCGCTGCAAGGGAAGGTGAAAAACAGCATCAATTGAGTAATATCACAAACATTTCTCCGTGGTCTTGTGTAATCTATATTAGCAAACTTTATTCAATGGTTTTTGAGTGAGTAAGTAGGTAGGTAGGTAGGTAGGTAGGTAGGTAAAGACTTAATTTATGGGGGGTGACACTTGAGAGTAGTAATAAAACACTGATAAATTCGTGGCCCTCATTACACTATAAAAAGCATCTAAAAAGTAAAACAGTATTGTAAAAATTCTAACACTGTATACATCAGACATTGAAACTATCGACAGTTGAAAATACAAAAAGCTTAAAATACACTTAAAAGTGCCAAAAACTGCTTGAAATAAAATCTTAATATAAAGAAGCCTTGTATCTTAAGGAGCGGGGAGGCTTTTTGATCAGTTAAACACTTGGCAATTGATAGTTTCTTTCTGATGCTTCATGGATCAAAAGCGTTCCACTCTGCAATTGTCCTAACCGTGAAGGTTCGCCGTCCCTTGGTTTTCCTTGTGTACCTAGCACAAACCAAGTTTAAATCGGAAAAACGGGTCTCTCTTTGATGGATGTCCGAATTCTTAATTAATAAATTGTCTATGTAAATCGGGGTATTAAAATTATTATCTAAGCGGTTATAAACTAAAGTGAGTCTTTTAATTAACGACTGCTTAGTGAGAGGCAGGCAATTAAGGTTATTAAAAAGAGTGATCGATGGTGTTTTTCTGTCTGCGTCTAAAACAATTCTTCGGCCGCCCTCTTCTGCAGCTTGAGAACACTTTGCAGACTTTCCTCACAACAGCTGTCTTTATCCGTGCTCTGTACATGAGGGTCGGTTTGATAACTCTGTTATAATAAGTTTCTCTTTGTTTTCTTTGTAGATGGGGACTTATATGCTTAAAGAGACCAAGGCATTTTGATAATTTTTTGCATAGATCGTCAACATGCGAATTCACAGTGTGAAGAATGACACCTACAAGTTTTTGTGAAGGGACCTAGGACATTTCAACTTTATCGAGCATTATATTCAGACTTGGGGCTAGTGTCTTGTCCCTAGGTTCTTAGCAGTACGCTTCCCGCTAACCAGCAGAGATTTGGTCTTGTTCTTGTTTATGAACATCATATTATTAGTCGCCCATTTACTTAGCAGCATCGAGATCACTATTTAAATGCTGGGTCAGTGATTAACTATCTGAAAAGTGCGCACTAGCCGGTATTGTTGTATCGTCAGCAAAAATATCAAGTTTCTTGGAAACTGCCTACCTACCCCTCCCCTAAGCTAACATTAATACTCACTTCTCTCTTAGGGCAAAATGATGGTTTAAGGGAGGGGTAGGTGGGTAGTTTCCCAGAAACGTAAATTGATTCAAAATATCAACGGACGATCTCGATAGCTGTAGCGGAATATCATTGACAAAATTAATAAAAGGAACAAAATATGTAATTTGTAATTTGCAAATAGGTAATTTGAGTGATTTTCCTAAACAACCTTCACATGAATATAGGTAGGTGGGTAAGGTATGGTTTTTGAGGATCTCTATCCTTCAACAGGGTATCATTTTTGTCCTTGCTGGCATTGTGTTCCCAGTTTAATCCTTGGATGGGGTACTCAAATTGTATCAGCTGAAATTAAAATGTGTAAATACCCAGCTACCTGAGAAGCAAACCATCTGTTAGTATTATGAAAGTTTGCGTGTTTCCATGAAGACCCTGGCGGCACACACCTAGCCGAAATTTATGGGATTAACCCCCACCCCCCCGCTTGCTTCTGATCCTTTATTGTCTTTACTGGGGAGGCTTGATTATATTTATAGTATACAACAACTCAATATTTGTTAACCACGTTGTCACAGCCTCACCTGATAGGTTAAAAATCTAATGCTGGTGGAATGCCTTGCGTTGGTGCGAGGATCTCCATATTTTTCTTTATTGATAGCAGTGGTTGTCTTCCAAATAAGCTTGCCTCTAAACCGCCAGGCTATCTTATCCGTATTAAACTTTTCCGTTAACAATCGGATTGTGTTGTCAATAAGCCTCATGTATGTGGTGAAGTTTATGGTGTGCACGTAGTGCAGACCCAGATTTAATATGATAGCACTATTTTTGTCCTTCATAGACGGTTGGGAAATTGCGTGAAATATTTCGGTGATAACTCTTCTGATGCTAAAATCTTTATCATCGTTTTCCAGCCTTGCTCTGGTTAAGTTTCTCTCCTTTATTGTGTAAACCCAATTGTACGTGTTGTTACATCTTTGAAATATTTGTTTACACAGAGGTTGTTTGGTAATGGACTTGTAAAAGAAATCTCCGACAGAGTCGCCATAAATCCAAAGTGTGTTTAACTTCCCTGCTGTGGCTATTTGATTGGATTTTGACTTATCTAAAGGTAGAAGATGTTTATAATGATTCGTGAGATATCAAATACGTATAATCGTTATTTTAGGTATAGACGTGTCACGCGAGTATAAGCCCAAACATACGCAGACAGAGTAACTTGTTGAAACTTTTTCCAAACAGAAATGCTAATGATCAGGAGTCTATTGCGTCTGAGCATTCTACTTGCGCCATGTAAACCAGGCTTTGATAATAGTAGTGATGATGACGATGATGATGATGATGATGATAATAATAATAATAATAATAATAATAATATTAATAATAATAATAATAATAATAATAATAAATCAACATCATCATCATCATCATCGTTATCATATATCCTCGTATTTGTTGCAGCTAGAAGGAGTTTCTTTGACTATTGCATGCAGTCTAATACTAAATAGGCAATTGAGAAACTCTCTCTCCTTTCCTTCTTCTTACTAACAGTGTAACATTATGCTGTTTTCCCTAAACTGGTCGCCTGTAAAACCAACGATATTGATGGGAAGAGTGTACCATGAGATTGGGGGAGTATTTCGGGATCGTCATTTACGACGTCGCTTGAGTTCATGTTTCTACTCTGCAGATTGTGTGCGAACTTTACCGAGACAAGGCACATGATTGGTTTTATTTTTCAAAAAAGAAAAACTTCAGTTTCTCTGCTGGTCCTGTGAATGCGTATCCGGCCTGGCCATGTCCTTTTGGCTTTTAGCTGGACGTCTGTCAGGTTTCAATATTCATGACATGAAGATCAATTAACTTCAGTTTGCGCCTTAAAGGGCTTCTAACTCTCTTCCCGTTAACAAGCAACCTTACTACCTCAATCCGGTTAGGAGCCGATTACCCTGATACGGCGCAGAAAATACCTGACTTATTACGCTTGTGATTTCTACTCTTTCTCTTTACCAGTGATTGTAATTCACATCGTTAATTAACTCTTAAGATGTTAGCCACTGACCGGTGAGGAAAGGTATCCATGATTCATTTACCCATCGCCCGTTGCCATCCCACAGATACGGACATGTGATTCCGCAAGGCACGTCTAAATTTCCATACTTATTTAACACTTCTAGTGAGAGAGATTAAAAACGAACAGTTCTTAGTTTAAACCTTTCATAAATTATTCATACACATGCATGAGCATGCATGTGTACAGGACATCATTTGAGACAAACAATTATCTGGGGTACCATCACGCATGGGCAATTGGTATTTGTTGTACAGCGGCTTCATTTGTCGTTAAAATTTCGTCCTCAGAAACTGTTGCGAAAAGTGCGATGCCATATGGACTCCCGTGCCAAAACAACGAATGGCCACGAAATAATACGTTGGGTTACGAGTGCCAATCAAATCCCGTGAATATCGCTACCAACGTATTTGGTAAATACTAGAACGATTTAGTGTTAGCACATCTGCAAAGTGGTTCTTCTACCATTCCGGGTCCCTAGTCGAATTGGAATTTGGAAATTTAGGTTTTGGGGAGGAGGAAACTCAGAGAAAAAAAATTACCGGTGTTTTGCTTAAATATCTTAACTTAGAGCGCCAGATACCGCGGTACATTTCACTTTTTTTGCACTTAACGCCAGCTAATCAATGCACTTACTGTAGAACACTAGCTCGGCTGATTGTGGAATGACGACCGTAAAAAGTGCTCCATTCCAGAGAGGTCTTAAAAGGAAAGGTCTTTCCTGATGGGGGAGAGCGTTTGGAGGCTGATATCTACCATGTGCATTCCCTGTTGACATCAACAACAACCTTTTCACTGAACACCTGTGACATTCACATGAACATGCTGTAAATGAAACCTACTATTAATTTTCTTTAATTCTCGACACTATGAACTAAAACCCCATGAAAATCCTGTGAATTAATTCGTGGTAAATTCACGGGATTTTCAAGGGATTTTAATGGTATTTTCATGGGAAATCTTATAGTACCAGATATTTCATGGCAATTTCATGAGCCATGAAACCCATTATCAACTTTTCGTAGAAAATTCATGGCCTGAAAAATAGGCCATGAAAATGAAATATCTGTATTCAGGGCCCTGACAAATGCTTTCCTGGGTTTTTAATGACATTTTCATGGGATTTTCATGACATTGCAGTTCATAGTGCGACAACAGAGGATACCTTGCAAAAAGGACTGTCGAACTTCACCGAGTAGGCACTGCGTCGCTTGTCTGGTTCCAAACTTTATAAGTTACGTTTGTGTTTTGGTAATAAACATTGAGACGTGATCAAAGCAAAATCGTTTCTAATGTAAACAGACCTATTTAGAAGCAGACCCTCAGGTAATTGTCTTATAGCGATATCCATTCCTTTCATTTTGTAGCTTCCCTTAATCTTCTGGCAGTTGTTTTTAAGCTGACAGTTATCATAAAAACCACATCAATAGTAGAGCGCTACTGTGGCCAGCTAGTAAAACACCTTAACGTTTTTTAACATTTTGGTCAAATAGTCCTGTTCAAGTATAACTACTTCATTGCTTAATGTCCTTTCCAGGGCGTTTCCCTTGTAAATTGGGAAGGCATCTCCTAATATTCATAACCTATTTACAATCACTGACCTTCTATAAACCAGTCCTTGGGTGGGTCTTTGTAACCATCACATAGCGAGTACTCTAACACGACTTCAATGTCGTATTTTCCTGGTTCCAACACAAGAAAACTGACCTCGTATTTCCCATTGTTATGATCAATTACTGTCGGAGACATGGAGGATGGACCTCGTATATGGACCCGCCACGAGTCTCCTCCAATCTTTTTGTCTATGTTGTCTCGCGTGACAGACTGGATATCGAACCGACTAAACTGCCCGGCCGGTCTGATATCCCACAGTGTCAAATAGCTTTTCGCTGCGTCTGTCTTGTTTTGTTGTCCCCAGTTCCCTTCTCCCCACGCCATGTGGTCTGCGCATGGCCGTAACACTTGTTTCCAGTCCATTCGCATTCGTTTTACTCGGCACCAGGTTTCCATAAAGTCCGCGAAAAGGGCGTTTTCACGCGCGTAGGCGTTACTTTTGTCAATGTCATTTCCATTTGATGCGATATATTCTTTGTGATGGCCGTGTAGCCAGTACAGATACGCCAAAATCCCTAGAGTTATGACAGTTATAGTTTTGCGAGATAATATCATGCTGACCCATGATTTTATTGCGCGAAGAATCATTCAGAACTTTCGAAGATGATGATTATGTCTGATTATGGCTCATTTTACCAAATCTGTAAAGAAACTGCGAAAACCAATCAACCAAAATCAAAAAATCGCAAGGGCGCTTACCATGGACCAACTTGTGAACATAATTACAATTATGACACCGCACTTGGTTTTGAAGGAAAGTAAGTCAGAAATCTGACAGTCCTGCGTATTGCAAAATTATTTTAACTACCGTATTATTGACAGAATGGAGATTCGGCTGGTTTTTATTGCAAAGAAATATTCTTCAACACCAACAAATTCTTGAAAGTTACGCAGAGCTATCGAAGCCCATCGGGATCCGTCATCAGCGACGTTTGTATTATTATTTTCCGTATTAAACGAACAGAATTAATCTGTTTTGATTTTGATCATATCAGGGCCGCGGCGCCTACTCGGGGGCGGCACATATTAACTTTTTGCCCCAAATGCGGTGCTTATTCGAATGAATACGGTAAGCTACCTTCTTCACAGTAATTGGTTTCTAAAGGATCGTAGGAGAGTCACTTTTTCAAAGTTTTTGATCGCTGATTTACCCGCTAGTTCAATCTAACTTTTCCTACAAGCAGACGAAAACCGTCATTCCTGCCTCAACCCTTAACTGAGTACTGAGTCGACATTCTCGTCCCCAGCGCCACAATCCTATTGGCCAGTGCCTCTCTTAATTCTAAGAGAACAAGCTAGCGCAAAGCTGCCATGTTTATAATTATTTGTGATGGTTATTGTTTCAATTTTCTGAGGTTACGCAAAAAGCCGGGAGTAGTTCGTGATTCGCGGAGTTCCTGTTTCGGAACCAGCCATAGCTTTTGATATCGGCCTGTAAATATCCCACCAATACAGGTCTATCTTTTTTGGAACATACTTCCGTTTAAAGAGCAACTGCAATCGACGCCCAGGTGATCCGTATTTGCAACCAATACAACCAAATTGAAAAAGGGCATTGGGTGGAAAATCAGTTAAGTCCCTGATGTTGAGAAAATATTGAAGCGTTTCTGATGATGCCTTTGGCTCAGTGTTTGATGTAGTTTATTGTTGATCGTACACGATCAAGCCGTTACTTCTCCTTACTAATTTACCAGACGTTATATTGAACATTGCTGATCAATCATTTAAATACTGGGGCATCTTGAGAGCAGCTTTTTAATTTTTTTTCTCTTGATGTCCAGGATATTCTCGACATAACTTCATTAGTACACAGATAACAACGCATGTGGTGGCCAACGTTAGCGCTCTCCTTTGTCTCAGTAACTACAGTCACAGATACTTGACAACTTCGTTATGTCCCTACAGTGAGGTATCATTTCATTTCAATTTGATTTGTATTTAGGCTTCTAAAGTCTTACCTTAAATNAGGATATTCTCGACATAACTTCATTAGTACACAGATAACAACGCGTGTGGTGGCCAACGTTAGCGCTCTCCTTTGTCTCAGTAACTACAGTCACAGATACTTGACAACTTCGTTATGTCCCTACAGTGAGGTATCATTTCATTTCAATTTGATTTGTATTTAGGCTTCTAAAGTCTTACCTTAAATGGATCAGTTTCCCTGCAATTCTTTTAAGGCCTTATCCAGCGATAAATTTGGAGGAAGACATTATTACTTGTGGTTGTTAAGTCGTGACCTGGTACCAGTTCAAGAGTCGACACCCTGCTGGTGTTGCTGGTAGATTTCGCGCCCACAGGTGTTACCAAGAAAGCCGCTCATGCTTCGGATATTAGGGAGTTTAAGCAGTGAAGTGTTTTTTGAGGGACGCACTTCAACCGGAAGTGAGCCTTTTTTCTCTTTTAATATACCTTGACGCCACCAAATTTGTATTGCTAGCTGTCTTTACTCCTATAGAGACAATTTGCCCAAAAATTTGTTCAAAATCACGGCTCAAGAGTGCAAAAAGTCCACTTCCGGTTTACGTGCGTCGTCGCTTTTTAAAGTACCTAATAGTTCGTCAAAGTTAGTCTGAAACACTCACTATTTACCAGACTCTTCCCTTTTATAAAACCTGTTCTAGACTAGACACCAAAAAAATCCCTCTAAAAGAGATCGGAACGTTCCCTGTGTAAAGGCAATGCGCTGCAAAACACTTGTTTCCCTTTCCTTATTGAGTATGGGTGATCGCGAGGCGCCACCGCTATGCTTCGAAGGTAGAGAAACCACGGCGAGCACCCGTTTGCTTTTTCGTCGAGCATGCGCGTTCACGTGACGCCCACGTCAAAACGTACAATGACATCACTTCCTCTTGTTTCGCAAAAAACATCAAGGACTCTGAGATCCAAGGACGCGACGGCAACGAGAACGTCAAAAAAAAAAAACAACAACAACAATAGGCGTAAAAAGCAACATAACAACTTTGCACGTGCATCACATATTTTTGTGCATTTCTTTGCCGTTTTGCACGAGCCCGTCGCAGGAGCCGATGACCCCTGCCCTTCGTGAAAATGCCGAATTTCGCGTTTCACAGAGAACGTAAACAAGCAAGGACAATTTTTTTAGCTGAACTTGGATACGGGTCCGAGGAATTTAACTCTAGTTGGGTTCGCCTACACTTGACAAAGTAAGTGGGTAGGAACATTCACGATAAGAACTGAAAGAGCGCAAAATAGGTTTTCCCTGGTCAATGTTAATTTATTCGTCCATGGCGCTGGACGGCGGCTCGATCAAAGAAGCAAACGGTTGCTCGCAGTGGTCTCTCCCGCTTCGTAGCGTAGCGTCTGGCTAGGAGAAACCACTGCTCGTAGGGTACCATTTCTTGATCCATGAGGTACAATTTATGATACGGCTCTTTGTTCTCTCTCAATTTATAATAATCATGCTAATTTGTTGAATAGCTGTCGAATTTTGTAATAACTGTTCCATCGCACTTTGTGATAAACTAAGCAGTCTCGATTTGTAATAATTCCATCCCACTTCATAATAAACTTTAGTTATCTTATTCTCTTGCTATGAGGTTCGCTTTTATGACTTTGATCTTCGACAAGACAAGAAGCTTATTTTTACATGTCGCCTTATCTGTATTTTCATTACGGTTTTTATCGTAGGACCATACAAAAAAATGTTCGTTTTTGCGTTATTTGCTTTTAAGTTTTGGTATGCTTTGAAAAGCTAAGCAACGTAACTTAGAAAACCTTACAGCTGGCGTTTTTTTTTTTTTAGTTATTATTTTTTCGAAAAATAACCATTGGGGAGTGGAACTAAATTTCCCATGCTTCACGACCAATCACAAGCACTTTCAGATCTGGGTAGTGACTCGTCATCAATATGGAATCATTTTGCGCCTGTTCCTCAGACCGTCATTTCGTTGGGAAACCACTGGTAGCGTCGATAAATCTCGGCTGTATCACCGCTTAGGTTATTACAAAGTACGATAGACAGTTATTAAATATTGTGACAATTTTTTTTATTACAATCTGCGACACAGTTTATTACAAATTGCGACTGGTATTACATATACAAAGTGCGATGATTGGTACAAATTGCGACATTGCACTGTTGTTTCAGTGCTTTTGCCGGTTTTCGGAACGAGACGCTTGCTGCTTGAACGTGCTATGATGTTTTGATAAGTAAGCTATTGAAAAGCAAGGAGAGAAAGCGTGTGTAAAGTTAACATTTAAAAAATAGTGTTGATGCAAAAACCGTTTCCAGTACAATGACTATTTGGACCTTAAATTATTGAGTGACGTTAACTTTGACGTAACGCGCAATTAAACAACCTTTGAGATAAATTTATGTTTATTTTTAATGGCATGCATGATTTTCCTGGTTTCGTATTGAAAGTCAAGATATGAAGGCCTTTCGATTAAAAGAGATGAATAACAATACGACTCGCGACTTGCTTCACCATATGGACGCAGCTGGCGCTATGTGAACACAAGCTGTAGTTAGTACCGTTAGACGGTTTATAGCATGCTGTGTTCGAATCCACACAAATGTCTTCTTTTTTCTGCTTCAAAAAGGAGAATAAAAGAACGTTTTCCTCGTCCTTTTTAATTTTCACTGAACAAATCTCATCACGTTTGATAACTCGGAACCTGTTTGATGTCTGGAAGACCGCGCACGGCGCGTGAATCCAGCTGATGTGAGGAGAGTTAGTGATTGTTCCCTGCCGTTCTCTAAAGTTCGCACGGATGAGAATTTTATCACAAGTAATGATCCTGGCGGTTGACCTCCTTGTAAATTGATGGTGATAAGGAATGACGCCCATTCGCGGTTTCAAAAGGAATTCTGAGGGCGGCTGGAGGAATGACCCGTTGCACGGAGTTGACAGGCGTCTGAACGTGACACGGAGCGACGATCCGTATCAGCGTCATTCTCATTTCTGAACTGCGAAAGGTGTACACTACTGGATTCATGGCACTGTTTCCGTAGTGAAGAATCTTTGCAAAGTCCACCAGATACAAACGACTCATTCCTCTAGGAACACATTTCAGCGTTGGGCAGAAGATGAATAGCAACGAAAGCGTGAAAAATGGCAGCCAAGACAACAGAAATAAACTGGTGACAATCAGAACAGTGTTTGCTGTTGCTCGTTCATTTTGAACTTTTTTCTGGATGGAGCTGACAGAATACGATCGTCGACGAATGTTGAACAGTTTCACGTTTTTGTAAATGTTGGCGTACATGGAAATTATGATTACTAGTGGAACAATGAAGCCAGCTGTTGTGGTTAGCAGCCCTCGGTATCTCGACCATGAATCTGATTTGAAATCTGTTTATTTCTACGGGCGATGCTAGTAGGGCATATAGGTTCGACGTTGTTCTTGTGTGACCATTATTGTAAAACCTTACTGTGCCACAGCGTTTCCAAAACTTTATCGTTACAAAGCGAGGTGCGAATACTGACAAAGGTGGGCAATTGATGTAAGTGCGCTGAACACATCGAAGAACGTGTAGACCCGACGAAACCGCATGTTTGCCGCACTTGGGAAAGAATTGTTCAGGTCGTAGATCAGGAAATACATCCAGGATGGTATAGAGATAGCGCCAACTAGAAAATCTGAGATTGCCAGGCTCGCGAAAAACATGTTGGTCGTAGTGCGGAGCTTATTGTTGCGTTTAAAGGCTATAACGATCAGTGAGTTGCTCAGTATCACCAACAGCGCGAGAAGAGTGTAGATAAACACAAAAATAAGCGTTTCCTCTGCTGTATGGCGGTACTTGTTGGCCACTGATGGTCGACTTGGTTTCAGCAATGAAGCATTGGTTGGCGAGAGTGACGTTTCAAAAGAAGAATTACCTGTACTCGAGACCAAGTTTTCCATGTTCAAAATAGTCTGTGATATTCTCTTTACGTCCTCCTCTTTACAATGCGCTGCGACATCTGAAGAAAGAATTAGATAAGGTGATTCGAATCATAATTATGGAAATTGTTTGAAGAATATTTAGGACTTCACTCAAAGTTAAAGTATTCGGCAACATTTATGACACGTTTGGAAAACGGAAGACAAACTTTCAGTCATTAATACAAATTGCATTTCACACCTGCTTGCCCAGTGGGCAAATATACTTTTCCTGTTACATTTGCATTTTCTTCGCGATTTTTCCCTTTTAATTACTTCTTTTCTTGCTGGTCGAGTTTCGAATTTACAAGAAAAGTTTATTTGAACGTTCACATTCTAGGTCACTGACCCGCCTGCTGGAATCCGCACCCCTAAAGTGAGGAGAGCCAACTAGACGAACTGAAAACTGGCTTTTATTGTGCCTAGCAAGTGACATTCTAGACGGCTCTCTAACCGGCAAATTTGCGGCAAATTGCCAACCCCCACTTATCAAAGGTAACAAACAGTACCGCAAGAAGTTACTTCTCAGCGCTTCAATATTTCGACAATAGTTATGCTTTGCGGTTTAATTCAGAGTCGTATTAAGTTAGAATCACGTTAAATAGTTTTACACTATAGTAAACAGCAACACAGCCACAGTCTCCTCAGTAGCGTTCATTTGAATGGTCGTACTTAGGATTTTACCCACAGACTTCAAAGTGAGAAACTTAAAGGGACAGGTTCACGGTTAAGCGCATGCTCATTACTTAAATTACTTTTTTCCATTTATTATTAATTATATCGGTGAATAATTCCACTCACATGTATCTCAGCGATCTCAGAGTGTATTTCAAAGTAGAAGTGTATTTCAGAGAAACCTGAAGTAGGATGGAGGAGTACTAAAATCGCAGAAAATATTAGTGGATTATGCCAACACTACCAACGTTGAATTTATTGTTGACCCGAAGGTTTTATTGCATAGTTGATTAATTTATAGTTATTTGCACATAAGTTGATTAAGTGACTGCCAGGAGAGTGTACGTGCAGATTGGTTCTTTGACGTCGTTTTGACATGATCATATTGTTTGCATAGGCGATACAGCATGTCTCCGCAGGAAAAAAGCATTTTCATAAACGAGCATGCGCTGAACCGTGAACCTGTCCCTCTAAATCTTGTTCGGCATAATAAAGAGTACCACAGGAAAGTACACCTTAGTAGTTTTCTTTTGAATGACCACAGACTCAAAAGTTAGAACCACCTTGTACAACATAATAAACAGTACCACTGAAACGTGCTGCTCAGTAGCTTTCGTTTGAATGGTCAAACTTTAGGATTTCACCCACAGACTCAAAAGTTAGAACCACTTTGCACAGCATGATAAACAGTACAACAGAAAAGCACTGCTCATGCGCAGTATAACTTTTTTATGTGAATGGTCACTTGCTAGGATTCCATCCTTAGACCCGAAATTTAGAACCACGTTGTATTATATTACAGCACAATTAAAGTAAGATATTTTCGAGAGAAAAATCTCGGAAGGGTGCTCACAAGTTCTGTTATCCCCAGCTTTAAAAGTCAGAGTTTTTTTACCACGGTGTAAGTTATTTGTAATAAATTGAATTTATATCATGCATTATACTTTTTTTCTCATTTTCATTGTTAAATTTTGAATGTGGGTTGAAACACTTTGCAGTGTACGACTTGTTTTTAATCGGGAAGGAAACACGTTGGAGGTAATCAATAAAATAAAATGAACATAGATCTATTACACACACAATACTAGTAGTAAGACTGGATACAGCGCCCACAACCAATAACATTAGGAAACTTAAACAAATACGTTTTTGAGCGACGTACGTCAACCGGAAGTGAACCCTTCTCACATTTAAAATGCCTAAACGCTACCAAAATTGTACTGCTGAGTGTCCTTTCTCTTATAAAGAAGAATTGCCGAGAGTTTAGCTAAAACCAGTGCCCAAGGATGCAAGAAGCCCGCTCTCAGTTGACGTGCGTCGCTCAAAAACGTCTTTTCTTACGTTCCCTCCTCGTGATAACCTTTATAATAAATTGCTGTTCCAATACTTCGGGTCAGTACGGGATCAATCAACCATTTTCACTCCCAAACTTCTCCCTCATTAATTTGATGGATAGATAAAACTTAGTGAATTCATTATACATGATGGGCTATTTTAGTGTTAAGTCCAAAGGCAATTTAAATTTCTTCCTTTTATTTTTCCCCACCTACATAACATGCATTATTCCTGTGAAATTTGAAATTTATTTTCTCGGGCTCCCATAAGAAATTGTGCTTGGTGTTATTAAAGATAACTCATTATATCTACAACCCTTGAATAGTGTAAAACAGAATGCAATATGGTTTAAATTATTCTGTTACAAGTTTTTTGTCCACTGAAAATTTAAATTACTCAATTTTCTGGTGGAGTTCGTCTTAAATTCTTCGTTTTATTTTCACCGCCTACATGACATGCATAATTGTGAGAGAAATGTATAAGGGAGTAGTTAGTACGTAGTAAGTTTTTCAACTAACTTTCATGAATTTTTCTCTTAATTTTTATTTTTCTCTTTAATCAGATCCTTTTTTGGATGAAGGCCCTATTATGTATGTATTTGGTGATAAAATTCTTTGAATAACTTGTGGTATTTTCAGTCTCCCGAATACATTGGTAAAGCCTAAGTATCTTCGTTAAAAATAGACACTGAGAAACTGATCTTACTTTGTATTCCATCGACAGTGAATGTTATAAGACCTTATAAATCCTTCAAATCTGGACAGCTATATCTGTGTGGAAGTTTTGCTTTGTTAGTCATTAGAGATTACTTTACGACAACTGTGAACAACGAGCTTTATTTGCATGGCCATACAAGCTCATACAGTATTGCAAAAGCTATTTTTAGGAATCAAAATTGCAATACAGGACAATTACGTTACTTTGATAATAATTTGTCACGAACATCAAAACAAGTTGAAATATATTTTATGAATTGTATATTGATGAAGTAATTAGAAGAGTTCATCAGTTCATTGATCAAACCGTTTATAGGTAACTGGGTAATATTTGGAATCAGAGTCTTGACTTTATAGTAAAATTCATTCCTAATCACAGAGTATGTAGGACATTGAAAAAGAAAGTGAACTTCGTCTTCCATTACATTGCATCCACAAAAAGGGCAATGCCTATTATCCTTCGTAGTTTGATTGTATCTGCCTAGCTATTTCTATCAGATATCTTTACAGATATCAAGCGGAACACAGTACTGTATATGAAAATGCGGTTGACTAGGTCCGGTGGATCGTGTGGAACCACCGTTCGGACGGCGTTTAACAGCTGTTGAACGAGGGTGAGTATGATGTGAAGAATTATACAGAGAATGTTATCAATAACAGCCCCTGAGATCAGCATAATTCTTCACATCATACGAAAGCCGAATTCAATAATATTGTTTTATTATTTATTCAAAATATTTCTAAGGTTTTAACAAGCTTACCTCCTCGTAGACTTTCTTCAAAACTTTTGCCTATTTCTGGTCACTGTTTCTCTGTATACTGAACAGATGTCTTTTCCATGCAGATATTCCTCAAAAAGTAGATAACACCTATCGAGCAATATGTTTTGCGGACTCCTGCATTTTGGTCAGAATTCAGCCATTTCGTCCTCGGATAGCCGTGAGAGCCATCTTTTTTAGTCTACTTTGGCCCAAGCAGCCTCGTTTCCAGGGAAATATACCATCGATCCAACCTCGTTTCCCAGCAAATATACCGTGCAATCGATGGTATATTGTTCGCATCTTCCAAATTTGGTCAACGCCGACTGGTTATGAAGAATTAGCCGGGGAATTTGAGCCAATTGGAAACAGCGAAATATTTTGAATGAATAATAATTATGTTATAGAACGCTACCCAAAAAGTTTCTAACATGCTAACCTACCAAAAACATAAGCTATTACTATAAGAAGTTTAGACGATAAAGTTAAAGTTTTTCTGTTATTGTATAGGCCACCTTCTCGGCGAAGTATGGTTTTAGGCGTCCAAGAAAATAATAGTAACTAAATAAAAAAAATAAGTATAGTCAAACCCCGTTAATACGGACACTGAAGGGGCCATAGAAAGTGACCGTATAGGCGAATCTTTGTTTACACTTTTTGCCTCCTTATAACATATGCTCATCACAGTCTGATGACTCTAATAAAATAAAAACTCTGAATATTGAAAGGGCATAACAGTTTCAGTTATCTCTGAAAACTTGAGCCCAATACACCGAATGGTTTCGGAGAAATTCTATTTTAAAAACTCGAAATTTTACAGAGAATGTATGGCTCACTAACTTTTTTGCCACACAGTAATTTCGCAGTTTTTGATGACTGATATTTCCTTCAATATTGCTTGCAAAGAGCTGAAAATTGCATAAATTGCTCAACTTAATCAGCTCTTTCAACTTTTGCATTTAGTTCATATATACGACCACGGCTTGTATGAGTTAAGTCGTATGCTAATGAGGAAAAATCATAAACGATGACGTCATCAAAGATTTCCCTTTTGACGGGCTGTTCGTATTAAGCGGGTTGAATTTAGTGAAATGCGAAGGCTTTCTTTCCCCAAGGACAAAGAAAACTGTTCGTAATAATGTCCGTTTTAAGCGGGTGTCCGTAAAGCAGGGTTTGACTGTATTTAAGTGGCTGAACACAGTTTTGGGGGCGGTCAGCGGTAACTCGCGTGACGGCGCTTGTTTTAAATTAGACAAACAAACATGGCTGCGAAAAAAGCAATGGTACACAGAAGACGATTTCTCAAAATGTACTCATCAAACTTTTGTGATATTTTGCAGAATTGTTACTTTTATCGTATTTTAAATAATGAGAACTTTAAAATGGACGTTGAACAGACGAATTTGGTGACGCATTTAATAATTACAGTACAATTATATCATTGATTATCTAAAAACCTGTCTGTTAAAATTTGGTCAAATAAGTTTCAAATGGTAATGATTAATTATAGTAAGCTGTGTGCAAGTTTATAGGAAAATCTAATGAGCGAATTTTATGTAAACTGAGCAAAAGTGAAATTTTAAGGTTGTATTCAATTGTTCATGTTGCCATGGAAACTATGAAAACGTCACATTTTACCTGTCAATCAAAATCTTTCATCAGTATATTTTTCACTTGCCAAGTTTCAGCTTGTGAGCTGTAACGTTAGCGCTCTCCTTTGTCTCAGTAACTACAGTCACAGATACTTGACAACTTCGTTATGTCCCTACAGTGAGGTATCATTTCATTTCAATTTGATTTGTATTTAGGCTTCTAAAGTCTTACCTTAAATTGATCAGTTTCCCTGCAATTCTTTTAAGGCCTTATGCAGCGATAAATTTGGAGGAAGACATTATTACTTGTGGTTGTTAAGTCGTGACCTGGTACCAGTTCAAGAGGCGACACCCTGCTGGTGTTGCTGGTAGATTTCGCGCCTACAGTTGTTACCAAGGAAGCAGTTCATGCTTCGGATATTTTTGAGCGACGCACGCCAACCGAAAGTGAGCCTTTTTTCTCTTTTAATATGCCTTGACGCCACCAAATTTGTATTGCTAGCTGTCTTTACTCTTATAGAGACATTTTGCCCAAAAATTTGTTCAAAATCACAGCTCAAGAGTGCAAAAAGTCCACTTCCAGTTTACGTGCGTCGTCGCTTTTTAAACTTCCTAATAGTTTGTCAAAGTTAGTGTGAAACACTTACTATTTAACAGACTCTGCCCTTTTATAAAACCTGTTCTAGGCTAGACACCAAGAAAAAACCCTCTAAAAGAGATCGGAACGTTGTCTGCGTTACGCAATGCGCTGCTAAACACTCTTTTCCCTTTCCTCATTGCGCCATCGCTACGCTTCGAAGGTAGAGAAACCACTGCGAGCACCCGTTTACTTTTTCATCGAGCATGTGCGTTCACATGACGCCTACTTCAAACAATGACATCACTTCCTCTTGTTTCGCAAGAAACATCAAGGACTCTAAGATCCAACGATGCGACGACAATGAGAACGCACGTGCACTCCCCTAAGTAAATCTGAAGAAAAAGAGAGACTGCTCGCAGTCTACATTCCATTGTTGTTTCAGTGCTTTTCCCGGTTTTGGGAACGAAACGCTTGCTGCTCGAACGGGCCATGGTGTTTCAATAATTAAGCTACTGAAAACCAAGGAGAGAAAGTGTGTGTAAAGTTAACATTTAAAAAATGGTGTTGATGCAAAAACGGTTTCCAGTACAATGGTTATTTGGGCTTCAAATTATTTGACGTAGCGCGCAATTAAACCACCAGTGAGTTAAATTTATGTTTATTTTTTATGCCATGCATGATTTTATTGGTTTCGTATTGAAAGTCATAAGATATGAAGGCCTTTCGATTAAAAGAGATGGCAGTATGTGAACACAGGTTATAGATAGTAAGGTTTGACGGTTTATAGCACGCTGTGTTCGAATCCACACAAATGTCTTCTTTTTTCTGATTCAAAAAGGAGAATTAAAGACCGTTTTCCTCGTCCTTTTTAATTTTCATTGAACAAATCTCATCACGTTTGATAACTCGGAACCTGTTTGATGTCTGGAAGACCGCGCGCGGCGTGTGAATCCAGCTGATGTGAGGAGAGTTAGTGATTGTTCCCTGCCGTTCTCTAAAGTTCGCACGGATGAGAATCTTATCACAGGTAATGATCCTGGCGTTTGACCTCCTTGTAAATTGATGGTGATAAGGAATGACGCCCATTCGCGGTTTCAAAAGGAATTCTGAGGGCGGCTGGAGGAATGACCCGTTGCACGGAGTTGACAGGCGTCTGAAAGTGACATGGAGCGACGATCCGTATCAGCGTCATTCTCATTTCTGAACTGCGAAAGGTGTACACTACTGGATTCATGGCACTGTTGCCGTAGTGAAGAATCTTTGCAAAGTCGACAAGATACAAAACGCTCATTCCTCTAGGAACGCATTTCAGAGCGGGGCAGAAGATGAATAGCACCGAAAGCGTGAAAAATGGCAGCCAAGACAGCAGAAATAAACTGGTGACAATCAGAACAGTGTTCGCCTTTGCTCGTTCATTTTGAACTTTTTTCTGGATGGAGCTGACAGAATACGATCGTCGACGAATGTTGAACAGTTTCACGTTTTTGTAAATGTTAGCGTACATGGAAATTATGATTACTAGTGGAACAATGAAGCCAGCTGTTGTGGTTAGCAACCCTCGGTATCTCGACCATGAATCTGATTTGAAATCTGTAATAAAGATGCCCGCTACGATCATCCCGTATATCCAAGCTGCAACAAGAACACACTGGTAATAACATTTTGGAATGACACGGTGTCGCAAAGGTTTTGAAATAGCAATGTTTCGCTCCACGCTTATGACTGTAAGGTGGGCAATTGATGTAAGTGCGCTGAACACATCGAAGAACGTGTAGACCCGACGAAACCGCATGTTTGCCGCACTTGGGAAAGAATTGTTCAGGTCGTAGATCAGGAAATACATCCAGGATGGTATAGAGATAGCGCCAACTAGAAAATCTGAGATTGCCAGGCTCGCGAAAAACATGTTGGTCGTAGTGCGGAGCTTATTGTTGCGTTTAAAGGCTATAACGATCAGTGAGTTGCTCAGTATCACCAACAGCGCGAGAAGAGTGTAGATAAACACAAAAATAAGCGTTTCCTCTGCTGTATGGCGGTACTTGTTGGCCACTGATGGTCGACTTGGTTTCAGCAATGAAGCATTGGTTGGCGAGAGTGACGTTTCAAAAGAAGAATTACCTGTACTCGAGACCAAGTTTTCCATGTTCAAAATAGTCTGTGATATTCTCTTTACGTCCTCCTCTTTACAATGCGCTGCGACATCTGAAGAAAGAATTAGATAAGGTGATTCGAATCATAATTATGGAAATTGTTTGAAGAATATTTAGGACTTCACTCAAAGTTAAAGTATTCGGCAACATTTATGACACGTTTGGAAAACGGAAGACAAACTTTCAGTCATTAATACAAATTGCATTTCACACCTGCTTGCCCAGTGGGCAAATATACTTTTCCTGTTACATTTGCATTTTCTTCGCGATTTTTCCCTTTTAATTACTTCTTTTCTTGCTGGTCGAGTTTCGAATTTACAAGAAAAGTTTATTTGAACGTTCACATTCTAGGTCACTGACCCGCCTGCTGGAATCCGCACCCCTAAAGTGAGGAGAGCCAACTAGACGAACTGAAAACTGGCTTTTATTGTGCCTAGCAAGTGACATTCTAGACGGCTCTCTAACCGGCAAATTTGCGGCAAATTGCCAACCCCCACTTATCAAAGGTAACAAACAGTACCGCAAGAAGTTTACTTCTCAGCGCTTCAATATTTCGACAATAGTTATGCTTTGCGGTTTAATTCAGAGTCGCATTAAGTTAGAATCACGTTAAATAGTTTTACAGTATAGTAAACAGCACCACAGCCACAGTCTCCTCAGTAGCGTTCATTTGAATGGTCGTATTCAGGATTTTACCCACAGACTTCAAAGTGAGAAACTTAAAGGGACAGGTTCTCGGTTAAGCGCATGCTCATTAATTAAATTACTTTTTTCCATTTATTATTAATTATATCGGTTAATAATTCCACTCACATGTATCTCAGCGATCTCAGAGTGTATTTCAAAGTAGAAGTGTATTTCAGAGAAATCTGAAGTAGGATGGAGGAGTGCTAAAATCGCAGAAAATATTAGTGGATTATGCCAACACTACCAACGTTGAATTTATTGTTGACCCGAAGGTTTTATTGCATAGTTGATTAATTTACAGTTATTTGCACATAAGTTGATTAAGTACTGCCAGGAGAGTGTACGTGCAGATTGGTTCTTTGACATCATTTTGACATGTTCATATTGTTTGCATGGGCGATACAGCATGTCTCCGCAGGAAAAAAGCATTTTAATAAACGAGCATGCGCGTAACCGTGAACCTGTCCCTTTAAATCTTGTTCGGCATAATAAAGAGTACCACAGGAAAGTACACCTTAGTAGCTTTCTTTTGAATGACCACAGACTCAAAAGTTAGAACCACCTTGTACAACATAATAAACAGTACCACTGAAAAGTACTGCTCAGTAGCTTTCGTTTGAATGGTCAAACTTTAGGATTTCACCCACAGACTCAAAAGTTAGAACCACTTTGCACAGCATGATAAACAGTACAACAGAAAAGCACTGCTCATGCGCAGTATAACTTTTTTATGTGAATGGTCACTTGCTAGGATTCCATCCTTAGACCCGAAATTTAGAACCACGTTGTATTATATTACAGCACAATTAAAGTAAGATATTTTCGAGAGAAAAATCTCGGAAGGGTGCTCACAAGTTCTGTTATCCCCAGCTTTAAAAGTCAGAGTTTTTTTACCACGGTGTAAGTTATTTGTAATAAATTGAATTTATATCATGCATTATACTTTTTTTCTCATTTTCATTGTTAAATTTTGAATGTGGGTTGAAACACTTTGCAGTGTACGACTTGTTTTTAATCGGGAAGGAAACACGTTGGAGGTAATCAATAAAATAAAATGAACATAGATCTATTACACACACAATACTAGTAGTAAGACTGGATACAGCGCCCACAACCAATAACATTAGGAAACTTAAACAAATACGTTTTTGAGCGACGTACGTCAACCGGAAGTGAACCCTTCTCACATTTAAAATGCCTAAACGCTACCAAAATTGTACTGCTGAGTGTCCTTTCTCTTATAAAGAAGAATTGCCGAGAGTTTAGCTAAAACCAGTGCCCAAGGATGCAAGAAGCCCGCTCTCAGTTGACGTGCGTCGCTCAAAAACGTCTTTTCTTACGTTCCCTCCTCGTGATAACCTTTATAATAAATTGCTGTTCCAATACTTCGGGTCAGTACGGGATCAATCAACCATTTTCACTCCCAAACTTCTCCCTCATTAATTTGATGGATAGATAAAACTTAGTGAATTCATTATACATGATGGGCTATTTTAGTGTTAAGTCCAAAGGCAATTTAAATTTCTTCCTTTTATTTTTCCCCACCTACATAACATGCATTATTCCTGTGAAATTTGAAATTTATTTTCTCGGGCTCCCATAAGAAATTGTGCTTGGTGTTATTAAAGATAACTCATTATATCTACAAACCTTGAATAGTGTAAAACAGAATGCAATATGGTTTAAATTATTCTGTTACAAGTTTTTTGTCCACTGAAAATTTAAATTACTCAATTTTCTGGTGGAGTCCGTCTTAAATTCTTCGTTTTATTTTCACCGCCTACATGACATGCATAATTGTGAGAGAAATGTATAAGGGAGTAGTTAGTACGTAGTAAGTTTTTCAACTAACTTTTATGAATTTTTCTCTTAATTTTTATTTTTCTCTTTAATCAGATCCTTTTTTGGATAAAGGCCCTATTATGTATGTATTTGGTGATAAAATTCTTGGAATAACTTGTGGTATTTTCAGTCTCCCGAATACATTGGTAAAGCCTAAGTATCTTCGTTAAAAATAGACACTGAGAAACTGATCTTATTTTGTATTCCATCGACAGTGAATGTTATAAGACCTTATAAATCCTTCAAATCTGGACAGCTATATCTATGTTGAAGTTTTGCTTTGTTAGTCATTAGAGATTACTTTACAACAACTGTGAACAACGAGCTTTATTTGCATGACCATACAAGCACATACAGTATTGCAAAAGCTATTTTTATGAATCAAAATTACAACACAGGGCAATTACGTTACTTTGATAATAATTTGTCACGAACATCAAAACAAGCTGAAATACATTTTATGAATTGTATATTGATAAAGTAATTAGAAGAGTTCATCAGTTCATTGATCAAACCGTTTATAGCTAACTGGGTAATATTTGGAATCAGAGTCTTGACTTTATAGTAAAATTCATTCCAAATCATAGAGTATGTAGGGCATTGAAAAAGAAAGTGAACTTCGTCTTCCATTAAATTGCATCCACAAAAAGGGCAATGCCTATTATCCTTCGTAGTTTGATCGTATCTGCCTATTTCTACCAGATATCTTTACAGATATCAAGCGGAACACAGTACGGTATATGAAAATGCGGTTGACTAGGTCCGGTGGATGGCGTGGAGCCACCGTTCGGATGGCGTTTAACAGTTGTTGAGCGAGGGTGAGTATGATGTGAGATCAGCATAATTCTTCATATCATTCGAAAGCTGAATTCAATAATTGTTTCATTATTCATTCAAAATATTTCTAAGCTTTTAACAAGATTACTTCCTCGTAGACTTTTTTCAAACTTTTGCCTATTTCGTTTTTCACGGTTTCTCTATACAATGAACAGAAGTCTTTTCCTTGCAGATATTCCTCAAAAAGTAGATAACATTAATCGAGCAATATGTTTTGCGCATTCCTGCATTTTGGTCAGATTTCACCTATTTCGTCTTTGGCCCAAGCAGCTTCGTTTCCAAGGAAATAGACCGTAGATCAACCTCGTTTCCCAGCAAATATACCACCCAATCGACGGTATATTCCTCGCATCTTCCAAATTTGGTCAACGCCGTCTGGTTATGAAGAATTAGCTGGGGAATTTGAGCCAATCGGAAATAGCGAAATATTTTGAATGAATAGTAATTATGTTATAGACCGCTACCCAAAAAGTGCTAACCTACCAAAAACATAAGCTATTACTATAAAAAGTGTAGGCGCTAAAGATAAAGTTTTTCTGTTGTTGTATAGGCCACCTTCTCGGCGAAGTATGGGTTTAGGCGTCCAAGAAAATAATAGTAACTAAATAAAAAAAATAAGTATAGGCAAACCCCGTTAATACGGACACTGAAGGGGCCATAGAAAGTGACCGTATAGGCGAATCTTTGTTTACACTTTTTGCCTCCTTAACATATGCTCATCACTATCTGATGACGCTAATATATAGATTTAGCCAGGGCTAAAAGCTAAGCTGCCGTTAATAAATTCATAATTTACATCAAACAATAAACTTGTAATCCACAGATCAGGGCACATTCATTTGACTTTTGAGGCAAAAGGCTAGGTGATTTTAGAGAAAAATAATTTGACAGTCCAAGAGTGAAACAAATTTTACATCGAGTTATTAAATAGTCTTATTTGTACACCCAAAAATAGCAATCATGTTCGATCACAGTAGATTAAGCCTGGAAAACAAATAGACCTATTCGTGTATTGTATTTGCATCAGCTGTGGCATCATAATGTGGCATTCACCAGTCTCTCCAACATTGCTCCGTTTGAGAGACTATGGATAATTGGACAACCCCGAAATAAAATTTTAAGAAACACACGCGCCACGATAGTCCTTGGTGGCAGCCAATTTGCACGTTGCATTCCTCGGTCTAAAAGAGAGGCCAAAATAAAAAAACAGGCCGGATTTTTTGTGTTCGACAAGTTTAGTTTACTAGTAAATCTTGGAGACGAATCTGGTGGCGTGTAAACCAGCCTTTTAAACATACTTTTTCTCATCACGTCTCAGGTAAACAGTACTCTGAGGCCCTTTTTTATCATACAGACCTCGGACAGAATTTGTTCTTTTTTGCCCTATTTAAACCTATAATTCTGCAGTTTTTCACAATTTTGCATGAGAATTTGCACTCATTCAATATCCACGACGATCAAAGCACGTGGTTTCTTTGCACAACAAATTATAGCATTGAATTATAAAACGTTGTCATGAAGAAAGTGAAATTTTAAGGTTGTATTCAATTGTTCATGTTGCCATGGAAACTATGAAAACGTCACATTTTACCTGTCAATCAAAATCTTTCATCAGTATATTTTTCACTTGCCAAGTTTCAGCTTGTGAGCTGCATCCGTTCTCTTGCCATGATTTGGCAAATGAGATATACTCAACAAACTGCCAAAACTGTGTTCAGCCACCTGTTTACTCAGCATTGCTCCAAGCTGCTTATCGGATAATCAGAGTTGCTCTAGCAAAAAGGTGCTCACAGTTTACTTATAAATGCAACGAGCCACTAAGAGTTGCTCTGAGTTAAGCTCAAAGGGCTTTCTGACCACTTTAGTCGCGTAGAAGCCTACTGATTATTTCGGTTATGTTAATTTTTGTGCTCGCCATATCGGTCGGCAAAAAGCGCTTCGTTAAAAAGTTTTTAGATGTCGAACTACCATTTATGTCAGTATTAAGTGAAATTGCGGTTGTAGTATGTTGAAATATCTTTGATTTACACCAATCCTTGTACGATCATCACTTTTTTTAATTACTGAATTTGTAAAACGTAGTTCACGGCTTTTGCTGTATAAGCTACAGTCTAACCTCTCCTTACGAAAACCTCTATAAAACGGACACCTCTCTATTGCGGACAGTTCGTTTGGTCCCAGAAGTGCCAAAAATCATACATTTCCTACCTCTATAATACGGGCACCTCTGTAAAATGGAGACTTAATTCTGTCCCTTTGGTGACCGTATTAAAGAGGTTTGACTGTACTCTTGTGAATTTTTAAGTCTTTCAAATAGTAAATGCGAAATACTAGGCAAATTTCGATACCAAAACTGCCGCTTCTAAGCGCTGGGCTTTTACATATTAGCAAGGTGTTTTAACAGGGCTTATGAACGGGGGCTTATATCCAGGATAAAAAAAAATGCGCACTGACCGTACAGTGAAATACGGCCTGCTAAACTAACCAATCATGGTGCGCGTACTAACTGCATGAGATATATTAAGCGCTCTTATGACTCCGCTAACATCATATCTCCGGCTCCGTCGCTAGTGAAAACCAGCGTTAAGACGAAAATAATGAGGAAGGGCATAGGTAGAATCATTTGTAACTTCCAAACAACTCTTTAAGCGGCGACAAACAGCAATGCATCCACTAGGATAATCAAAAAATGATGTTAGAAAGCAAAATGGCTCACCTGTTATCAGTATCAGTATTCGGAATCAGATTCGTTTCTGCAGGAGCGCACCAGAACACCCATATTTCCCCCATTAGTCCGAGAAAGAGTGTTTCGTTGAAACCCCCGCAAGTGTTTTCTTCAAAACAACGATATCCTAAATGAAGTTTACTTAAAGTCGCTCCAGGTTATGACGCGTGCTAATCTATTTTATTGGAGCTTTTAGCCTTGGACAAAATAAAACCTTTCTGATATTCCGAAGTATGTAAACGGTTGAGAAATTAAACACTAATCTCCTGCCTTTCATTTTGGAGTAATTGAAGCAATTCTAATTTCTCTTACTCATTTTTATTGCGGAAATTAATGACAACTCTGTAACTATTCAGTAAAGTGGTTTGAGTTTGCATTTGTAGATATAATTAAATAAACCGCGGGGTAAATAAGCACTGAATAAGCCATCTTATATCAGTAATTCAAGTTTTATTAAAACTACAGGAAATGAAGTTTTCAGAATCATGTCGAGGAAATAATCGCTTTGCTTAGATCTATGTCACGTGGCCGCACATCGACCAATCAGGCATTTTTCGCTGGTGAAGTTGGCTGCATGTTTTCCCGCGCTTGGCTGCAGCTAGTGGCGGCTACATGTATTTACTTCGAGATATGATTGATGATTAGTTTGCCTAAATCCATTTCGATCCATCAGTGGGTATATCGTACTTTTGCTTTGGTCTCTTAAGAAACAATAAAATCAGTCTAGCAACTAATCTTGTGTTAACAGTGTTAATACCTCTAATATCATGCGTATGCCTACTCCTCAATTTTGTCGNTTCTCTTTTTTTTTTTTTTTTTTTTTTTTTTTTTTTTTTTGTGTAATTTTGATTTATTTTTATAATATATTTATTTTTTTTTTTTTTTTTTTTTTATTTTTTTGTTTTTGTTGTTGTTTTGTTTTTTTCTGTTTCTTTTTTTTTTTTTTTTTTACATTTATTTCTTCATTCCGTTAAATGAAATTTACATATTCATCATTAGCCATTCAGTAAGTAGTCTAATGGAACGTGAAGTACTAAACAACACACAACTCATTTTTGGGCATGGAAAAATGAGTCTTTACGAAAAACAAAAAACAGAACTGGACGGTCTCCTGATTCGGCGTATTTTCATAATTGTATCACTAGAACTTCGTTTTTACATTTTTCTTTACATAAGGAAGTTGAAGAGTAGGAATACGACCGTTTCGTGGTCGGGTTCTTGCGGTGGCCACAGTTTTTATTTAAGCTGGAGACAATAGAATTGTAAACTTAGAAAGTTCCACTCCCCCTTTTATAGACGAGTGCATGCTGTCTGAAAAGTAGTACCACTTAAAAATAGTGTTAACGGGCATGTAAAAAGTTCCCTTGCACACAACAGATTAGTTTTTGCAGCCTGTCTTGCATCTGCCAAATTCTGACATTCTTCCGGCACTTCTAAAACTGTATACGTCGACAAAATTCTTCGGTCAGGGTCGAATCAGTCAACACTTTACGATGATTGTTAGAAAGACAAAAAAAGAGAGACCCTCGTTTCATAAGTGCCATATTTGCATATTACATTGAGTTCAAGAGTGCTGGGGGTAAATGAAAGTTTTTAAAATGAATTTTAGCCACTTTAAAAATTGCTTTGGGCGAACTCAGTTACTACACGTTCACTTAAAGGGTAAAACGTGGTTCCAACTGATAAATTGTGCTCTATTGGTAATATAAACATGGTGGAGTGCTATTAGTTTGTCATGAAGTTTTGAGAAAAATTATGATTTACGGGGTGCAAGTTTAATCGGTAAATATGCCACACAAGATTTTCAAAAGATCAGAAATGATAATGGCCAAAATGCTATTGTATGTAAGTTTACAATATGAAGAGCCTTGCTAAAAACTGCACAGCTGTAATCTGCTCTCATTGCTGTAGCTATCTCTATGAAACACTTTTCATTTTTTTCCTCTTTAAAATCACTGTTAATTTATTTTTACATGATTTGAAGCTATATAGCATTCATGTTGAGGAAGCGATACAGATGATTTATTATCGGTAAGACACTTCCCCTTTGAGAGAGTAAGCTAAAAATTGATGATTTCATTTTTCGGTGGGATTGTACAGTTTTAAGTGTTTTCCGTAGCGACCATTCTTTGCGATAAACGAGGAGAAGGTAAATAGTGCACACTTAATAACTTACCTCCTTGAAAAGCTTCTTTGGTCGTGTTAAGAAACCAACTTGCAATTCTGATTTCTTATTCAATGATACCCCGGTGGCAAATCAGGAAAATTCTGTCAGAAAGGGTTTTGCTTACCACATAACACCTGGCTCAGTTCACATCAGTCTTAATTCAAGAGTAACAAGAAATAAAGGGTATACCTTTCACTTAACTTCATCTCTATTGTGCCTTATGTAGATGTCTTGTCACAAGAAATTTCCTTGGATGAGCTTGAACCTCTGACGTGTGGAGCAATATTTTCACTTACTAGGATGGACAGGCCACTAGATGAGTTTTATGGTGAATGCTTCTAAGGTAAACCTGATAAGCAGAAAAACTTTGGCATCTAATTTCGTTTACCCAAGGCGATATTTTTTTCTCGAGGTAATTACGAAATGACAGTGATTGGTTCTCTCTATCTCCACTTATGTGAGCTTTGACGTATGTTTAAAACATGTTTAAACTATCAAAACGCTCTTCCCCTTCTAAAACCTATAAGCACGTCGGAAATGATACAGACTACAGGACATGGCTAAGTGGATGTCATTTTCTTGCATTGACTTTCCGCGTAGGCTTGGAATTCTTGGTCGGCGAAGTTTCTAAATATTTTCAGGCTGCAAATTCTTATCCAGTAGCTTTCAAACTAAAGCAAGCTGATTTGTGTAAATTAGAATGAGGCAAAATACACCGCAGGTGAAATGTTTGTATTGCTATTTCAACATTGGCGAACACCCCTGAAGAAAAACTGACGCTGCCTGCTTAAAAATCTGTCAATGAGATTTAATGAAATGAAAACTTAAAGCGCTAAGTGGAATAAATTAGCTACGACATGGAGTGGATATAATATTGATTGAAAATCTCAAAGTTTTACAGAGTTTTTATACTTTTACTATAGAAGGCTCTCATTTTATTAAAGGACGGTCTCGAAACTTGCATTTAGTGCGATTGGGGCCATACTCTATGGCGGTTTTTCGTGCATCGCCTTCAGATGCCTGCTATTTCAAACAGTACATTTGCAGGCAAACCTCTTATATGTCCCGGCGGGCAGTTACTCTTGTTTAACCTATCTTCATTGTTGACGTCTTTTCTACGACCGCTTACCTCTTAACCGAACTGTTGTCAGGAGGCTAGACCGTTGTATGATTCCTTTTAACATTGCTATGGGGTGATCGTATAATTTTTAAGGCTCATAGGTACTGTTCATGCATTACCCAAATAACCATTTGCTTAACCCTTTAAACCCCAACATCAAAATTCAAATTCTCATTTGTTATCCCTACACGTTTTCAATAGAAGTAGTGGGGAGAATTTCTTGAAGTATCAATAAGAATTGTCTTGTGTGTCGATCATGTCCTTAATTCTCATGTCCATTCTGCTTTACAAAGCAGTGATATTACTAGGAGAAATTTGATGCTCTTAGGGCTTAAATGGTTAAACATCCAGTAGTACCAGGGGCTGACCTAGAAGGGGTGGGGGGATTCTTGGATTTTCTTGAACCCCTTTCCTTACCCCAGATCCTCCTTCTCCATCTGTTGTAAGAAATGTTTTAAGCTAACCCCAGTAGTCTTAAATCTCTCTGTGCTGCTGTCTCGCGTTTTTGTTTATGCACACAATAGTTTTTAACAACTGCGAAGATTTTCTAATTAAAATTTCTAAATATATAACTGATAGCTTTCCCGCATCATGAATACAACAGGAGAAATTTGCGACCTCTCTAATGTTTAAGATACTTAATGGTTTTTTTCTCGAAAATGTGGTGATTTGTGTGATATGTGTGAAGTGAAATTTATTCGAAGCAAGTTTGAGGAAAATGCTAATTAAGTGACCTCATGGTCTGAGTAAACAATTGTCATTTTCTTTGTAAATATTTGAGGAACAAAATCAAACTCGCACGTCATATCAATATGTTGCTTTTCATTGTTGACAATTTTTTTTTCTTTTTTTCACGAGGGGTTCTGAGGAGTTTTTTCTGGCAATTCTTAGCTGAGGTCTTCTCTGAACCTTCCCTCAGCTGTATTCAATATAATGAAGGTAAAATTTTAGCCCATCATGAGAAATATTTCGGGCAGCCATTTATAATTAATTCGGCTGGAAAACAAAATTCTGTCCTTAGATTTCAAAAAGATGGGTAGATCTTGCACGATCTCGTCATATTTATGACCATTTATTCTAGTTTTTTTCTGGGTGAATAAACGCGGCACAGTCGAGGTTTTTTCAGCTAGCTTCGAGGTATCTAGAAACAATCGTGGACGTTCATAATAAATGAATAAATTTGCCAGTTAATAAGTTCAGAGAGAAGTCCGATCTGTAATTTTGTCTTCTTAAATTCGTATTTTTTCTCAAATTAGTCATGAAAATAAAAAGCCTTGAAAACATATTGGTTTGATAAACTGAATAAACTGTTGATAAAGAAAGTATGAGGTAAAAATTCAACCTTAAAATCTGGAAATAAAACTTATTAGAGTGAAAATTAAAAATTTTATGAAATACAGCTGCTGGAAATCGGTTGCCATGGAAGCATTAAATGTTGATGTACACGTCACGGTAACTTTACAACGTTTCCAGGTACATTTTAGGTAAAGTTGCGAAATCTGGCCGTCATAGCCTGAACCTTGATTATTTCAAAAGATTCCCCCGGTTTGAATAGGGTTTACTTAATCTTTTGATTAATCTTTTGAATCTTTTCATTAGGAGAAAGGAAGAGGAAATAATCAAAGAAGACTGAATTCGATAAGTTTTGTGATTATTTACGCAGTTACATCACAATCCCAAACGGTGTAGCTATGACCTACCATTGTTTGGGTGCTGTCGCGAGCTGCCGCGTGGCTTTATCAAACTCGTCAAGGCAAGACGCCAGCTTCTTCCTCTAGTTTTGACATCTTACCGAACTTAAATGAATTTTAACTTTGTTCCTCCCTAGCTTTGGTGGATTAAAGTTCATTTTAATTTGAAATCATCCTGCTCTGCTCTTTTCACTTGTAACATTACCGAGACGTTGTTTTCTCGTATGATAAATGCGGTTTCTTCTACTCGTTGTGCATTCAACCATGCTATATTAAATGGTTCTTTGTCTACCACATTATTTGGTTTTCGAGGAGACTCGAAAAAACCGAAGTTACCGCTGGAAAACCTCTCGTGCAAGGGCGAACTAACAGAGCAAAAACAAGCAAACAAACAAAAAAAAAGCAACTACCCATTAGGAATGGGTTGAAGTTGTTTGAAGATGAATTTCGATGCAGATTTCATGAGGTGTAAAGCTAGTTTAAGATAACTGGCTAGCTACCGGATGTTTAAACGGTACTTAAATTCAATAATCATCGTGTTCGTCAGAACGTATCCTAATCTGGTGTTCCTCTGGCAGAAAGGCGGAAATTTTCTAGCTATCACGGCTGAATGCAAATTAGTCGCTCGGGCATCTCGACCGCAGGAACTCGTTTTCGTTTCCTTTAGTCTCGTTTTCGTGCAGATGTCATGCTCGAAGAATAAAACGAGCGCGGATCCATAATCATTGATTTTTACCAGTTTGCAATTAACAGCCAATAGGATTCGTGACTTTTTCTAACTTTTTCCTTTAATGAAGCTGTATTGACACAACGTTTTTTATAATTGGTTTCTGAGTACGATATTTTTATGTTCGATAAATGTTTTTCAAATGTAGCTGTGCTGCTGGTTTAAGCCATATATTATTCTACAGCGTTAAGAAGTGAGGAAGTGATGTCAGAAATTTTTTTTTGAAAAGGAACGGTAAGCGAGATGAATTTCACAAGGTGAAGACCTTGCGAGATTTGCTTTGTTGTTTATAACAAAGTTTAAGAACCTTTGCATGCACTGTTGTTTAGGAATCATTCTGTGGGACTAACGCTTCATAAACATTCAGGTTTAACCCTGAAATTCAGAATACCAATTCTTTTTTGTGTATGTGTTCCATACATTTCAGTGACAGCTGATAGTAGGAAAAAGCTGTTACAAAGAAAAGAGATCATTTTGAGTACTTAAGTCTGTAGTTCTCATCAAGTTTCAGTTTTTTGTAGTTTAAACACCTTTCTTCAAAGAGTTAGCAAAAGCCAAAATTCAGAAAAATTAATTTGAAAGGGCACATCACAGGATATTAGTCACAAACTCAAAAAGTTAAAAAAATATCCTTTCAAGTCATGACTGACTCTTAGAGTGGATCATTACATTCTAAGGTATGTAATCTTTTGATGCCAGAGAAAGCAGCGAAATAAACTTTGATGTTGCTAGACAGCGATCTTAGTGGACTCAATTCTGAATTTCCGTGTTGGTATAGTCACAGGCAGGCCAGGGACTTCGTCACTCAAAAGAGGCTGTCGACTTTTGGGCAACTTTACAACCTTGAAATAATGGTACACAGATCATATAATAGTACACAGATTCTTGTTTTGTTTTTTGTTTTCAGTTAGTTGTCAGTAAAATTTTAGCTTGCTCGAAAAAACGTGTTAATACTACCAATTTTTTCAGTCTTAGCATATTGTCTGATCTTTGAACAAATTTTGAACAAACGCCATTAGTAAGTTAACAAAATTTCTGGATCTCAACAACCTTTCTCGACAGAGGTGACCATTTGCATTGTTGCACGATGGAAGAAAAGTAGGGGCTATCGTTTTGTTCCTGAGTGCAATCATCACACGAGAGTCGTTCCTCAGTGTCAATTATTTCGTTTTTTTCTGGCATATTTGCAGGACCACGGTTCGTTGATATCTAGAAATTTTGCTACCATGCAACGTGACGTAACGACTTTGCCTCTCTTTTGTGATTATTCAAACCAAGTCTCGTACCATCTAGGTAAGTCTATTTCCTGGTCGAGCTATCCCAGGTATCTCTTCCCTCTTCCTACCCGTTGCTCTTGCTACCAGCTCAACCAGCCTCCGTCTTATTTCTTCGCTGCGGTAAGCATACACGACCGGGTTAACGGCACTGTTACTGTAATGCATCCACTTGATAAGGTCCATGAGGTGAACAAAGTCGCCTCCAGTGGGAAGGCTCGGACGGTGGAAGGAAAATAGCAGGGATACGACAAAAAACGGCAGCCAAGCGACCACAAAAAGCACTGTTACAATACCAACAGTCATGGCTATCCGCTTTTCACGCTGCATACTCTTCTGTAGGGGTCCAGATCCTTTAGCGTTTGTTCTCTGCCAGTGAGCGTTCACGCTCTTGACGCTTCGGTAGACAGTGCTATACATTGCGATTATGATGATAAGGGGCACCACAAAGCCAGCTGCAAACACCAGAGAACTTCGATAGTTCTTCCACGTACGACTGAGATCCGCTGAGAACAAGAAGGTGATGATCAGCGAATAACCCCATGTTGCTAATATCATGACATAATAGCGAGTAAATGAGCTTACGCGGTGCTGAACAGGCCAACATATCGCAAGGTGACGTTCCACGCTGATGGCTACCAGATTGGAAATTGAAGCTAGCGCACTAAAAATATCAAATCCTTTATAAAAGTCCATGACGAACGTGTTGTATTCTTTGCAAGACGCTAACTGAGGGCAAGAGAGGCTGTACATCCATAGAGGTATTGAAACCACACCCACAAGCAGATCAGAAATTGCTAGGCTTACAAAGAACATGTTAATGGTCGCTCGGGAGCGAATTTTCTTGAAGGCAACGATAACTAAAGTGTTCCCAGCAATTATCACTAATGCAAGAAAGACATAGAGTACCAGAAAAGCAATGACTAGATTCCTTGACCGATTAAACTGGACGCTAGAAGTATCCGATGTGTTTCGGTCATTTTTAGTTAGAAACGTTCCGTTGCTCATTTTATGATCCGTTGAGAATCTTTTCAAACTGGCACGGTTTTGCTGTAACCCGAACTAATATATAACCAGCGTTAATTTGCGCGGAATCATTATTGGAATAATTGATGTTATCTTTTGTTTGCGTTGACAAAAACCCTGTATTTTATGTACTTGTCTTTGTTTCCTTCTGTCAGAAAGATGGAAATACATGAAGATACCCGACAGATGGTCACCTTTACTTTCTCAGCCAATGAAATTACTGTTAGTTTTTTTTCGTCATCAAATAAGCTTATACTTCTGAAACTAGCATGTCAGTTTATCTAGATTAAATCAGGCCAGTTTCATTTTAAATATCTTTACCAGCTCTTTAAAGTAATAGGGGAGGCATCATTACTGAAATTTTATCTATAAAACAAGAACATCAAACGTTCTCCGACTAAGGTTATTTTAATTTGTCCTTTCAAATGAATTCTTTTGAGTTTAAATTCCATATACATGACGTCTTGTATACTTTGGTTTCAAACTCCAATATATATTTTTTTGAACTTGAAGATCTGACAACATTTTTTATCTTTTTCTATGTCATCTTTTTTTTTCTTTAACTCTCAAATTTGTCATGAGATAAGAAAACGGGGGAATATTTCATCTAAATGTTCTTAGCTCTGGCGCCAACTTGCATGAAAGGTATTCATAAACCTCTCAGTTCACTAGGCCGTGGGACTTGAACATCTGTTAGTTTTGTGTAGATGAAGATTAAGATTTAAGAAATTCGACTGTGCGTTGGTGTTTCTCAACAAAAGTGTGGTTTACGCATTAGAAAAGCGAAGGCCACAAAAAATCTTTTACTTTGATGCTAGAGATTTGAGATCAGTCTGTCAGTCATGAACCCCTAAATACCAAAGTGGAATCGTACAAATTAATAGTTTGTTCTTGTTGTTATCGTTTTTTTTTTTTTTTTTTTCATAAAAAAACTTTTTAATGTCTTTCTCCCTGTTGCACTTATCATCCCTGCTAGTTTATTTGTTAAGAAACAGCCGACTGTCGTTCAAGACGTGCCCGGCAGGATGAACTATATCATCCCACCTGTATTATTCGTTGCATTCGTAAGCACTTATGTCAAGCAAGATTGTCCTCAATTAGCAGACTTGTTTGTAAAGATCGCGTTTGACGCGAATTAAATTTGCTTGGTTTTCCCCTGGCTGCTTGATTAAGCCGTAGGCTTCACTCTACCCTGTAGCTTTAAAACCACTCGGGCCCCTCACGAATTTTTTTTTTTATCGTTTTTCATTATCTGATGGCCTAGTATGCCTCCAAAGAAGGTCACCAAGGTGGACCCGTCAGCCTAGCAGGTTTGATATTCGCTTTGTCGCTCCTTTTTTTGTGAGCATTTAATAGAAGAGATCTTCAATTAACGGAGAAAGAGGTGTTGTGAATGCTTCTCAAAGGGGCATCACTTAAAACAGCGGAAAAATTGGAATTGGTATGACACAACATATTACTTCTTGTGAGTGGAAAAAATGACACACTTAATATTCGAATATTTGACGGCACTCTTCATTCAACTCAGTAGAATATTGCATCATATTCTCTTATGGAGCTTTCCACTATTACGTCCAAGTTATGCTGTATTATGAAGTGGTCCTAACCTTTAAATCCTTTGCCAATGAAATGGTGTGGCCATTCAAATGAAAGCTACCTATCAGTACGTGCTTTTCCTTTGGTATCGGTGGTTAGAGTCTGTGGACAGTGAGATCCTAAAATGTGACCATTCAAAAATGAAATATACCGAGCAGATCGTTCCTGTACTCTGTCTGTTTATTATGCTCTAAGAGGTGCTTCGTACGCTTTGGAGTTCGGCATGAAATCCTTTGGTTTATCAATCCAAATAAACCTAACTGACAGCATGCACTTTTACACGGTACTATTTTTTTTTTTTTAGGGGATGCCTAGAGAGGTTCTATTTCCTTGGACCGAATAAATTGGATTAAAGAAGTGCTGTCCAATGATTGTAAAGCTTTTTTAATCCCTTGGGTTTTGCTGAAACTAGTTTACAAAAAAGTAAAAGAAAGATATGCGAAACCATAAAAACACGTTTAGGTGACTAAACCAGCGAGACTGTTTTTTTCCAGTTACGTTTGTTTACCGAGTTTGCCATGACGTATCTGAAAATCTTCGCGTACGCGACCTATATGACTGAAGGTCAGCCTCCTCCTCAGGCGCTTCGTTTTTCTCAAGGTAGAGGCGACCGACGGATGGTGAACCGCAAAGGACTATTCGTCCTGACCTCAGGTTCATGCATATGGTCAGGTGAGTAAAGATTTGGCGACTTTTTCCCGCTCCTGTCGTTGTTGTCTTTGTGCTGCTCGATAAGACAGATGACTAAAATTTGTTTTTCGTTTTTTTTAGAATAACAATCATACGCGTAATTTTCTCCTGTTCATACTGATGAACTATTAAAATTTGACTGATGATGTTCTTGGCTACTGCCAGGTCAGGTGAATTATTTCAGCTACTGTTGTTTGTTTTTTATCGATTCGATTAGTGAGTTTAACAAACATTTTTTTCTCTCCTTATTGCAGGTTGACCAATGGCATTCACCATTATTTCAATTCATGCTATCAATCGCTGTTGACAGTGCTTCTGCGATTACCTTAAAATTCCGAAAATAAGCCCCGGGGCTTACATTTTTCAAAGGCCCTTTTTGACGGACTTATTTTTGGAGGGGCTTATATACGGAGGGAAATTTGCGTTTCAAAATCGGTTCGGCTAGCCTTATAGTTGGAAGTAAATTTACCGTTTTTGCTTCGTTTTACTTTGTATTTGAGGGCAATTTTCCAAGTACAAGCCCCCGGGGGGCTTATATTTGGAGGGGCGATTTAACGGAGGGTTTTTTGCGTTACCGGTTTGGGGGCTTATACATGGAGGGGCATATTTTGGGAATTTTACGGCATTTGGAATGTGAATTCCTTTGCCAGCACCATGACAAACAAGGCAGAATTCAGTATTTGACCGCCAACGGCGCTGAGATGTTTCATATTAGTGTCTTAGTATTTACACGCGAACTTTGCAATCTTGCTTGAAATGACAGAGCTCAAAGTAGATAACAGTCCGCTTCAAAACGTCTCCTTTAAGGGCCTTTAACAGGGGAAAATTCAAGACGGTAATTTTAATTTCGTTTCTTGTCTAAAATTGTAACGTTACGCTATTGAGGAGAGACAAGACACAACTCAAGATTCAAGATTATTATCTATTTACGCGTCAGATATCATATATATCTCCCGCGGCAATCGGGATATAAAACATGGTATCTTTTTGCTAATTTCATAAGCTTGATGTTTTGTCTTGGTTATTTACAAAAATTAGAATTAGTATTTCAATCCTACATGTAAGTCCAATGCATATTACACTTTTTCATAACTGGTATAAAAAATGATAGCGATTTTATAAATTTGTCCCGGGAGTACATGAAGCCTATTTTCAACACGATACTCTTCATGATAATTATAAAAAAAACTGTTGCAGCTTTCACTGCTGTTTTAGTTTCTAAAGGCATCTTGGAAGAATTCAATTCCTGGTTCTACTGCCAGACAATAAATGCGTAGTTTTTAAGTATGATATTTTTTTTACTTGATGTAATGCTTCAAAAAGCTGCAAGAGATATTTTAAACAGTGAAAAAAGAAAATTAAAATATTAAAGTTTAGATTCTCCACAAGTCACACTCGTTGAGTTGTTCAGTTTGAAAGTGTTCAATTTATACATTTCATTGTCAGTAACTCTATTTGTTCCGACGCGTTATGTTCGGCCTTATCTCACGCTCTCTTCTGTAAGTCTCCCTCTTTTCTTACCAACTGAAAATCATTAGGTCGAGCTTACACCTGCGCGCAAATCTACTCTATTCAATACGACTCCATCAGGGGCACCCAACGAGAATACAGTTCAAAACCACTTAAACATAGCATTGTTAAACGTATTTTAGTATTTAAACGGTAGATATAGGCATATTTTTATCCCCTAAAAATTTTTCATCTGTTCGGATTTCCTAGCTGAAAGTCTAGTGATCCGAAAATTATAGGGATCAAAACTTACCTTTTCGAAAATTTCAGCCAGAAAAAAAGGCTCCCGAAAATTCTAGGTGACCTTTTTTTAGGGTAAAAATCCGTTTAAAATGGGCAACTATACCAATTTATAGATGTTCGAAAATCCTAGGAGAGGTAGGCAAGTAAGAAATTTTACAAAAAATGTTCCGAAAATTTTAGATCTCAAATCGTCTTCCGAACAGATATTTTCCGAAAATTGACGTTGGGTGCCCCTGACTCCATGCGGCCCAGACTGTTGAGGAGGTTTTTAGAGATCACCCGCTAGACTTCAGTTAACAGAAAACAATAACGTTTGAGTTGAGAGACAAAAATATCGCTGGGAGCAAACCGTGGAAGCATTTGGTTTGGATTGAATGCTTAAACTGCAGTCCTTGACACCTCCGGAATCCCCATTTGTAGCTTCTTCTCTAGCAACAAATCTACTTGTTTATTATGATTTCATCATTTGCAATTTTTTTCATTTTTATTTTGGACCTTCTATGACTACGACTTATATAAAGGAGGTATTTTCATGATATGTTTCATGGTGACATTCACATTTTTTAGTCAAAGCTGAGCTAAAATTTTAACAAAGTGTTCTCTCAACTTTTGTCATACTTGGAACTCTAACAAAATGGTATCAAATGATTCTTTAAAAGGGAATAAAGCATGATCGCCTTTTGATCGTTTTTCGACAACCACAGGGTTTTCTGGTCGTCGAAAACGAAGACATTTCTTATACAATGCAGTTGTGGTGCAGCAGTAGGGTAATTTCTCAAGCATTATCTCAGGGTTTTCTCCGATTCCAATGTATTTTTACGGAAAACCAAAACAACGTGTCATTGCTACTTTAAGTTAACAACCTTAGTAATTCAACTTATACCACGGTTTTCTTGCCTCCTTGATGAGAGAAAATATCTAGTGCTATACTATATTTACAGGGTCATTCTATTCATTCAAGCTGTGTCTGTACTGTAAACTCAAACTTGGCAATAGCATCTGTTCATCACAGATCTTGCCTATATATAGTTTTCCACCCGAAACAGAAGGTGACGAAAGTTTTTCCCATAGTTTTCTTTCTTTCACTCTCTGTCTAACTTTTGTGTTCTTCTTAAACAAGCGAAGCACCCTTTTTCTAGAGCCACTCAGTTTATATAATTTTTGGCATCCAAAGAGGAAGTAGACGGATTTAGTTCCTCAATGGGGCTGGTGCCGTTACAGAGTATGTAGCCAGCCAGATGCGAAATGTTGCCAAGATAATCAGAAGCGTTACAAATATGACGAGAAATGGTTTCCTTGGTGAGCAAACCCTTGATTTTGTCTCCTTCTTCTCTTCATCGTTCAAATTAATTACATAAGCTGTCATTGCTTGTGATTAACAGTGTTTTGATGTACGGGAACTCGAACAAAACCTCTCTTGGTTGGATTTTCCAATGTTCAATAAGTCCGGTGACGTTATCCAGGAAGATTTAGTCTCCCGGTCTTAGTTGTAGTAATACGATATCGCTTCGATTTAAGCGTGATTTTCCAAATCAAGTAGAAACTCGACTAACTGAATTCACTTCATTTGGTTCAAAATCCCTTTCATCTTCTGTAAAAACCACTAAATGCATGAAACATCATGCTAGTCTCTGGTGAATCCCCTTCAAACTTTTCAAACAAGGAATTGAACCACTAAGAATCTCGCGTTTTGCCACGCGTTGTGTCGCAGGTTTTACGGGTGCTTTTGTTGATAATTGTCATGCCTATGAGTTCTAATTTACCGCCCTAACGCTAAAGCCAGGGGGTTTCATTACTAATGTTTTCTTATGAAACTGATGATTATGTACATAGTTATACGAGTCACTGAAAAAACACCAGGAGAGAGATCGTCTTCAGTTGCTCTTTAGAACCGAAGCTTACGGTTATGTTTTCGAAGTTTATACAAATTGTACCAATGAAGATCAATAAGCGCCTTTAATGAATGCGTTTGCTTGAAATTAAGGTTTAGAAGGGCTGGCAGAAAAAAAATAGCATGACCTTTGATGGAAAGGAAATGTTTTGCTTGTGGAACCCAAAATCCTGGGCTTTGGAATCCGTTATTCAACTTAAGTAATCCGGAATCCCGCCAACTATTACAATCCGGAATCCACGTTCCGCTGACAAGGAATCCGAAATCCACAACGTGTAATCCAGAATCCACGATTTCTTCGATTACCTAACATGGGAACATAATTCCGTAAAGTATATTTCGGGAGGTGATATAGTGATCCTGGCCAGGTGAAGATTTAACTTCCGCTTTTTAAACAAAGCACAAAAAGGCAAAGAGCATGGGCCTGCAGGTTGCATATCACCTTCTTAAGATAAGAGGGCTCTTAACTTTGAGTAGAACGTGTACAATAGCTCTTCCAAACCTCTATTTTCATTGACCTAGATAAGCAGTAGCTTCTTTTGTTTTTAGGGCTAGGGGTGTTGTCTGCGTCGAATCATCTATTGTTTCGTTCTCCAATCACAGACCATGTCTGGAAAGCTACTGACCTTCTTCTTAACTTTTGCTCTGGAACAATAACCTGTTGTTTGAAATAACAGTTACGAGTTCCCCTAACTAAGACGTTTTTGGCAACCCGACCCTGGGCAAAAGCAAGATTTTTTTCAAAGACAAAAATCATTTTGTATTTTGAATGTTTATCTTTTGAGTGGCAATTTATTTCGTGCCGCAACCTGGTGTTATCAGTTAGTTCAGCAATAGGGTCTTATTACCAGAACAATCCTTTCCGCTGCTATTGCCCGGTACCTGCCAGCTTCGGTCACAAACAAAATATTTTTACCAACAGAGCGGAAACTCAGATTGTGTTTTAGCCAGTTTATGTAAAACAACTTTTTGGATCATTTTGTATTTCTCAAATGAGCCAAAAAGTTGTTAATGTTGATATTGAAAATTCGGTTTCTGGAAAGTAACGCGAAATCATACCAAATACAATTGGGTACGGCTGGATATTGACGAAGCGGATTTCAAGGTATTTTAAAATTTTGTTTTACTGCCTATGTTCGTTTTACTTGACATTACGAATTTGAAACTTGTCACAGCGGTGGCAAGTACTAGATCATTTATTATAGTGGTGTTTCTTTAACGAGAGAAATAAAGTTTCAAAATTGGAATCAGAAAAAAATAATGTTTTCTATGGCCTCAGTGAAGAATTCTTCATTTGCTTACCACGGTCGTATGAACATAGCTTGATATAATGCAATCAGGTGGAAAATGTAGCAGCTTGCCACCAGTGTTGGGTTACCACTTTTAAAAAGGCTTGTCTTCAGCCAAAATGAAGTTAACCTTCTTTACATTTTGAGTGGTTTCTAGCGTACATAGTTAGGGTGCTGAACGTCCATGCAGAAATCCCCGGGGCAAGCATGTTCTTCTCTACAACCTAACCAGATGTGCACGCTGGACATGTAGTTTATGATTTCAACCACAACAGCTTTTGCCCAACGACAGTCAAAGTTACTTAATCTCGATTTCGCTGGGACTAAGAAAACATCTTTGTTAATTTATCATGCATTCTTACTTTTTCTTGTAAGACTCGGAATTACGTTTATCCTACTCTTTTGTTTCTTTACTATCCTTTATTTTCTTTTCATCCTAGCAGCGATTAATGTCCGACTAGATTTTTGCCTTTCGCTCTAATCACTCATTTAGTTTTATTTGTTTAAGGAACAAATGGGACTGGACTAGAGATGGAAAGGTCTCTCGTTTCCTTTTGTATTGGAAGTTTCGTTCCGCCTTAATGACAGCTCCTGATTCTATTTCGTTATTACAATGCGACAGCGACACGATAAGTTTATAGGACCCATAAAAGAATATATCATTTACTAAGAAGATTTAAACGACATCCATGCGGATTCAGCTTCTTCCGCGCTCTTCGGCATCCAACAAAGACTTTTACAAGATTTTCGCCATTTTGTTTATTATAATCTACTCTTTCTTGTGGGTTTCCAAGCCTGATTGTGACGAAGAGTTGAGCTGGACCGCCTGTTACAAAAATGTGATCAAACTAAAAAGAGAAGTTGTAAAAAATGATTCAGCTAAGCGGATGGAGAGATATATTCTACCTGAATTGATACGTAAGGTTTACTTGGACAGAACTCGCGCTGAGTTTTTGAAGCACTGGTGTCGTGAAAGACATGCCAGGTTGGACTGGGAAGCCATGTTATCTCCCTGTGCAGACCAGATCGTCTGGAACTATCCAAGGAGAAAAGAAAATTCTACAGATCCCAACACAAGCGTTATCTCACTCTGGGATATCAGACCTGTAGGTGAATACAGTCGTTTTAGTATTCGGTCACAGACTACGGAAGGCCATCCAAAGAGGCGGGGTGGAGATACATGGAGAGTGGTTCTAAGAGGCCCGTCGTCTATATCCCCAACTGTTATTGATCATAACAATGGAACATACGAGGTGTTGTTTCTTGTAATGGAAGCAGGTGTCTACATAGTGAATATAACTTTGGATTTTACCTTGTGTAAAGGTTTTCTAGATCCTCCAGTGGACTGGTTTATAGTGGGTAAGTAAATCCCTTTTATCGTTTTCTAAATGTAGCGCAAACCTACCTACAGGTCCATAAGGCAGACACCTCACTAAGACCGACACTAGAGTTGATCTCTGCTGTGCGGACACCTCCCTAAAACAAGACACGTAGGACTGGCCACTGACTTTCTTCAGCCCTTTTCTTTGACTATGCATAAGGTGGACACGCGCTGATCCCAATGGTGTTCGTTTTAGAGAACTGCAGAACTGTCCGCACTTGAGAGAGTGTATTACAAAAAAACAAGGAACGGGGAACAGGCTCGGGCGACGAGAAAATGGAAAATGGAAACAGAGAACAAAGTTACTGATAGAGCTGGGGTTTAAGCTTGGTTTTATTCCCACTTTTGATTACCCTTCCTCTGCGCTCATTCTCCACTGCTCGTTACCTGAACATTCCCCGTTTTAGTAAAAACGCCCGGTTAGCTCAGTTGGGAGAGCGCCGGTCTGCTGAGCGTGAGGCCGTAGGTTCAAACCCCGGCCGGACCAACACTCAGGGTCTTTAAATAACTGAGGAGAAAGTGCTGCCTTTGTAATAACATCTGCAAATGGTTAGACTTTCTAGTCTTCTCGGATAAGGACGATAAACCGTAGGCCCCGTCTCACAAGCCCTTGCACATGTAGTAAATCTGTGGGACGTTAAAGAACCCACACACTCTTCGTAAAGAGTAGGGCACGTAGTGCCCGGTGTAGTGGTCTATCTCAGTTTCACACTCATGTATGGGTGCATCATCACTCATTCCTTCAGTACTTGTAAACTGCACCTTAAGCAGTCTGGCAAAGTCCCCCAACCAGTGTTGTAAATTATCCCTGAAAAGCCCTGTGGGGAGTGGATAATAAAATATTTACAATTACAATTAGTAAAATCTCTTGAGAGGTACTAGCTGGCGTTAACAGAAGGAGGATCGACTGTATGCTTCGACTCAGTTGGCCTACGAGCGTGTTTGAACTTACTTGTTAAGATATTACCACAACTGGTGATATCACTACTTATTGCTTTTTTTTAAAAAAAAAAAAAAAAATTCTCAAGGAAACGCGCAGGGTAAAAAGCAGCGGCACTTAGGAGTTGAAGGAAACAAAGACTTTCTCCAAGCACCACTGTGGAGTGGAAATCCTGTGCAAATAACAGTCCCACCAGCCGAGGGCGGTAAGATACATTTGAGCTTGTCTGCTTGTTTTAGTTGATAGAACAGTGAAAGTACGGCATTGATAGAAACCTCTAAATGGCCGACTTATAGGAATATTGCAGTTCTGTTGCTTTTTGTAATGCAGCAGTCAGTTCTCGTGGTGTTTAGGTAACTTGTGCCGTGTATTTTTATCGTTATTTAAGGACGCCAGTCGCTGTCCAGCATTTCAGAGGCATATTTAAACGGAGTTAGTGGTGCACATTGTGGTGTCACGTGTAATTTTATGTGGGACGGTTATGGACGTTGGGTGCAAGACACCTGGAAATCACATGTTAAAGGTATGTGTCGAAGGGAAAAAGGTTTTTCAGTATTTAAGGCAACTTAGTCGTTTAAGGAGAAACACGAAGAGAAGAGGTGGCCGTGAGGTAAGGCTTGAAGAAAAGATAACAGGAGAGAAGTGGAGGATGGAGTGGGGTGGAGTGGAGGGGACAGAAAAAGACTTGGAGATGAAAGGAGAACACCCTCTGGACAGGAGATAAAACTGGTTGGGAGATGGATAAGATGAGATAAGTAAGTAAAAATAGGGAGGAGAAAGGAGAAGAGGGGTGGAGTTGAGGGGAAACACCAACCAGGCAAGAGTGGAGGAGAGGAAAGAGTATTGATACAGGTCCAGGGGAAGAAAGGAGAGGATAAGGGGAAAGAAGAAATGCGATGGGGTGAATGGGAGAGAATTGTTAGAAGTGGCCACGGAGAACATTGAAGGGCTGAGGAGACTAGAAACAGGAACGAAGTCGGAAGGACAAAGCATAAAAAGTGAGGATGGAGGAATGATGGGATAGGGGAGGGCGACAGAATGGATAGAGTGATGGAGAGGATAAGAAATGTACAAAGTCGGAATCATGATGTCCAGGCCCCGGTTGTTCAAAAGATGGATATCACTAGCCAGTGGATAAGTATTAGGAAAACCAATTGCGCTTTCCAGTGGATAGTTGGATAGCGTTATCCACCTTTTAAACAACTGGGGCCAGGAGAGTTAATCAAGAAGGACCTTGTAGAAGGCGATAAAAGTTCGCTTTCAGTTTTCCATGCAATTGTCTTTTCAGAGTCACATCGTTATCAGCAACTCCACGGCAGGGAATTAAGTACCTTGTGGGTTTATGGCGATTCCGTCAACGTCTTCTTTGCACACTCGCTAAAAACGCGAAAAATTTGTCGGGAAATTTTTAAGGCGTGTAATTACAGCTACAACTGGATTTATCCAGTTCACAACATTACAGCTGCCAGGAGAGAAAATGATAACTTAGATTACGACAACGAAAAAGTCTTGCAAACGTTTCGTCAAGTTGTTGAGCGTCCTGAGATGGATGAAAGAAGTGCAATTATACTGAACTTTGGTCTTCATTTCGTTGAAAGCGTAAACTTTTCAAATTACAGGCAACTTATCGATGGTTTGGTGAACGTGCTGCAAGGTAAACATAAAGCCATGAGATCAAATGTAACCCAAAAAAAGTATCGGGGAACAGTGATCTGGAAAACTACGACAGCGATTAATAAGGAAAAAGCCAGTAATATTCATCTTGGACATAAGAGATTTATAACACAACAGGTAGGCGCTTATTGCGACATTAGAGGCTATTCACATGATATCGGAATGACTTTCATTCTGGAACGAGCTCATGCCATCTCCATATTATATTTCTCTGCATTTGTTTGCATGATACCGAAACGACAGTTTTTTTCCCGTACAAGTCATTCCAGAATGAGTTCATTCCGGTTTTCATTCCTAATAGAATTCTCGTTCTAGTACGAAATTTCATCCTGGTATCATGTAAACTGAAAAGGAATTTTGTTCCCAACACACCCAACACACGCAACGGTTGAGTGTCACCCGAACATTTTGAAGTCGGATTCTCTGAAGGTGCCAAAGTTGCCTTTCCGATTGTCACTAAGAGCTACAAACTCATTGGCAACAGGTACAATACAAAGTTTGTCTGTTCTCTGTTTGTGGGTGTTCAGTATTGTCAGATTACTAAACCTTGTTTGTGTGGTAAGTGACAGATCTGGGTGACCAAAGTAAAAAAAGGTTATTTTACTATACGAAAAATTGGATGGGCTAAAGCCCTCAGCATTGGCAACAGCTACAAGACAAAGTTTGTCTGTTCTCTGTTTGTGGGTATTCAGTATTTTCAGATTACTAAACCATTACTAAACCTTGTTTGTGTGGTAAGTGACAGATCTGGTACCCTGGTAGCCTGTTCCAGGCTCTCAGATAGTGGGGAAGACGCGAAAGAAAAAGAAAGAAAAAGGCACGCGAAAAGTTGGCGGGGCCAGTTTCCTCCCGTTTTAGCTTTCTCAATTCAGTGGACCCGACTATCTCGGAGCCTGGAACAGGCTACTACCCTGGGTGCCAGGGACTTTTTTAGCGCGGTTTCCGGTTTCTGCCAAGTGAAGATGTGTCGGCCTTCGGCGAACACCGAAAATTCCCGCCGCACGAGAAAAAAACCTCTGGTAGCCAGGGTACAGATGTGGGTGACCAAAGTAAAAAAAAATTATTTTACCATCCAAAAAAGTGGATGGGCTAAGCCTAAAGTTCCCCCCCCCCCCCCCCAGGGGCCCGGGTTGGAAAATTTTTCAACCTTTTTTTCTCTCCCTCTTCAAAGCCACATTTTTTTTCTAACCCTTTTTTCCCCTCCCCCTCTGCAAAAGCGGGCTTAAAGGTATTTTTTTCTTTTTCCACACACAACCCATACCCCACAAGCGCGTGACATCCCGCTCCCCCCCCCCCCCCCCCCCCCGCGAGGTCCCTGTGTGGATAATTCTTCAATCTGATTTACTCTCTCTCTCTACAGCGCATCTTGCTTTTCAACGCTTTTGCGACCTCACGCATGTGCAAAGCAGGATTCAAGGTTCTTGATGTCTTTCCCATAAGTAACTCTTACCCTCAAGGGACTGGAACTCACGGTGCCAAGGGACCAGTTAAAAACGATATCGTACATTATAGTAACTTGGCCTTCAGTCCAGTTGAGGAATTGTTGGAGCAGTATTTTGGCGGAGATTAATTGTTCAAATGTTGATTAGAACGGATAACTAAAAATTCTTATTCTAACCACACACTGCATTATTCATAGTGTCGTTAAAAAAAATATCCTGAATTATGATGGTAGTTAAATTCAGATAATTTTTTGTGTGTTTTATTTCGATTTTCCGAGGCCTGCGTGCGTAGCTTACGGTTTCGCTGGTGTCAGCGCGCACGCGAACAAATGGTAAAGCCACGAGAAAATTAACAACCTTTAGCCAGCGTTTCCCATTCCTCTCACGGCCTCGCAGCTGGTTTTCGCACACGCTCGCCAATAAAACCGTCACCTACACAGGACAACTTCTTGGCATTTTTCAGGATTGAAGCAGGATAATTTTCGTATAACTAAAGCAGTATTAGTGTATTGATGAAGGCTGCGTTCCCTATTGTTGCGTTTCTGTCAAGAATAACCCTAAGTTTGTTCCTGCCCGTTAATGGAATTGGAGTAAAGCTCTCTTTGGAGTAATCTAGGCATCCAATCGGATCACTGAAGTCGTCAAATTTCACATTTTGATCTTTGCTTGACTCAGCTTCGAATTCAACTTAAACAACTTCTTCAACTAACGCTCACAAACTACAGTCGAACTACTATTTGCGACCACTACGCGTAAGTCACCACCTCTCATATGCGACCATCTGCTCCTATCCAAAAAACCAAAATATTCCCCGTCATAGCTCTATAATTTGAACCTCTCGTAAACATATACTCCGCATGAGCGACCGACCTTTATGGCCTGATGGTTTTAAGCATTTTTGACCACCAACAACAAACAATAAAACACTTTATTTAGAAAACAGATAGTTACAATTCAAATAGTACCTATACCCACAAATAGTTACAGAACTAGTCGAGGCGGGTAGGTATGATTAAGTTAGGATTATTACAACTTAGGTTTTTGGCGTTATACATTTTTGTACTTACAGGGATTTCAAATTAGCGGCAGTTAAAGATTACAATAAATAGTGAATTAAAATAATGATAGCGGTAATGAAAAATTGCAAATAAACATACCAAAACAAAATGACTACACAGAGAAAAGAAGGAAAGAATCAAAGAGATTTCCCTATACTGGTCGTGGTCACAGGATTACTAGCAACTACTTGGCGAATTGTGTGGTTTCTTTGTTCACTGTCGTATGTACTGCGCCACTCAGAGCACACCAAGAAACTTACAGTGACAACATGGAACTACACGTATAAGTCACTTAAAAAAAAAGAAATTGTATGCAATAAATTCTCTGCCCAAGCGAAGCCGTCGGAACCTTTTCTCGGAAGACACCCCTTGTGGTTCGATTCTCGTAAGAGTCCACTTTCCGTAAGCGACCACTTAATCTGCGCATCTTGCGTGGTCGCTTACAGGAGGTTCGACTGCACTGTGCACTATCTAGCTATTGGCGACCAAAATAGCTTATAACTACAGACACCTTTGGGCTTGCTGTCCGTGGGTGTAGCTAAATGACGTGGGTAGTGGGTAGAGGTCGTGGGTGCGGGTAAGTGTCAAGGTTTAAAAAAGTCTTCCAAAAAAAATAAAAATTAAATAGCAAACAGTTGTAAAATTCATGAAACGAAAATCTTCGCGTACATACCAGTCCTATTCCCCTTCCCCTCGGTCAGCAAAGCAAATAAACGAATCCTCTAGCAAAAACATACACTAAAAAGACATTTAGGTGAAAAATAAAAGAAACTCTGTGCACTATGTAAACCTGAAACAGGCTATAGAAAAACTGGAGACAGTGAACTGCTTTTTCTCAAAGATGTCTACATTCGTGAATGAAACTTCCTTTCAGTTTAAGGAATGATATTTCGAATCGTTACTGCAAAGATTTTGTACACAAAACAAAACAAAAAAGAATCGAGGAAAATGTATTTCCGTACGGCATAAAATTTACATACAGTCTCGCGTTAACTCGAAAGGTTGTACCTTCGTAAGGTAAGACTGACCTAAAACTTCCATCCAAAAATATGAAATACCTAAAAATTGTCCTTTTCCCCTCCCCTTTCTCACGGTGATCGCTTTCCATCGGGTCAAAAAATCTCCACTGATGATTTAATAGGAATTATAAATCGAAAAAAGATAACTAGTGAGCAGCTATTTCCATTCAGCGAGTCAAAGCTGTCCCACACTTTCTGCAAATTCCAGATATAATTTACGTTTGTTTCGATTATTTCCCGGCGATAGCTCGGGTATGGATAAATCTTCATCGGCAAAATGTCTTTTATACAGTGATGTTGTAAAAGGTTAGCCAAGTCCCACATAGCAAAGAAAATATCAGGAAGAGGTCGAAGAACAAGCCGTGACGAAAAAGGCAATCAAGGAGTTGGAGATTTTCGTTTCACAAATATTTTACAACTTTTTTCTATTTATTTATTTTTTTCAATCACTTTACTTCATCATTTTTTTTCTATACACTTTTAATTTACCCACACCCACGACCCACGACATTTAGCTACACTCGCCATCCGTGGGAGTTACTTATAGTTTTAATGCACATCACCAGAGTGGTTGAAAAAATAACACACTCACATGGTTGAACTTAGTGCAATGTAATCAATGAAATTTCGACAATTGAGCTTAAGAGTTGTGCTATAAATCAAACCGAAACAGAAACTTTGGTATGGGTAGCTTCAATCCCAAAATAAACAAGCTTGCAATAATGACTGAATGGCGAACACTATAGCTACTGGCTACCATTTCTCAAGGTAAGGTCAATTGAAAATCGCTCTACATATCGATATATACCTAAATGCAGCGTTTAGTCAAACGTGCTGTACGTCTATTTTGAAGGTGATTTTTTCTTTGTGATTTCATCATAAAATTATTGTCCATTGGTCTATGTTCCAGCTTACTGAGGCCGTAGATTATTTGTTTTTTTAATTGTAGAACATTTCAGCATTATCGTTTTTGGAAAGTTACGATAATACTGGTATCAGGTTTTCTTTCAAAGCGGATTCAAAGCTTGAAACTGTTGAAAGTCTAAGAGGAGCATATTTATAGTTGGTAAAGGGTATTTCTATTCTGATTCTAAGGTTACGTTCACAATGCACTGGATGAATTTTCGACCGGTTGAAAAATTTGTACTTTTAGTTGTTCCGTTTACAGGGACCCTCAACGATGGTTTCCTCCTACATACATTAAAAACACTTTTTAGGCTATCCAGAGTACTTTTAGATCTCTAGAAAAGCATTCTTAGCGGCGCTGTAACATTTGTATCTGTTTGGTCATCCTAGGGGAACTTGAGTCTTGTCGAAATTACTAGGGCTTGAGTATTAATTTCCCGAATATTTTATATAAAATTTGACGTATTACGGAAGTGAGACATTTTCTAATTCCTCTCTCCATCACATTTTTGAATCCGAAAATTTTGGGTTTCTTTTTTTCTATGAAAAATAGCCAAACTTGGGAAGTAAAATTCCAAAATTAAACGTCAGAAAATCGTAACGAATTTATTCGAAAATTCGAAAAATTGTACACGGAATGGTCATATAGAAATTTTTAGCCGTCAGTCAAGTAATAGACAATTCTGGGCAATATTTGCTTCTCCGAACAGATAATTTGCAGAAAACACTCAGCGTTGGGTGCTCCTGCGTTCACACGGAACCAACTTAGCCGTACGGAAATATTTGGACGCTTAGCCTTTCAAAGGTCCGCGTGAATAGAGCGAAAATATTCAAACAGCCCCCTGTGAACGAAAAGTACGGTTTTTCAGCCGGTCGAAACTTGTCCGGCGCCTTGTGAACATAGCCTGAATGTGTTAACAAAAGTAATTGAGCTAGTGATATATACAGTACAGAACAAAACCGGCGTATAAGAACCTAGATTTTAAGAAACTGTTTTTTAGCCGGTCGAAACTTGTCGACGCCTTGTGAACATAGCCTAAATGGTCCTAAATGTGTTAACAAAGTACTTGAGCTAATGATATATACAGTACAGTAAAAACCAGCGTATAAGAACCTAGATTTTAAGAAACTGTTAGGCTAATATTGTCCATTCAGACCCCTTTTACATAAGAACCTGTTTTAGCCTACAATTTTGAAACATATTCTTATTATGAGAAATTCAGTCAAAGACTGAATACACAAGTACCATGTTTGGCCCAGCAGCAACACAGTGCCATGTTTTAATTATGTTGTTTTTGTTCTGTTTAACTTACACAGCTTTGTTTATAAAATGACGAAGATAGTACGCGCGTTCTGATTGGTTAAAAACATGGTTTATTGTGCCGGTAAACTCATAGAAAACTGAAACATTTTCCGTTTTACTTAAAGTTATTTTATAAAAGCAATTGACCACACTTTCTATGGGTTTACCAGCGTGATAACCCTCTTGGGATGTTGTGAGAACACTCAAAAAGCTTTGTAAATCACTGGCCTTCGGCTCGTGATTTACAAGCTTTTTGAGTGTTCTCTCAACATCCCGCGTGGGTTGTCACGCCGGTAAACCCATGGAATGTGTGGTCTATAGCTTAAATAAACTTCTTAACTGGCTTTAACATGCTTGAATTAAAGGGGTTTTTATGACATACTATGCATGCAATACCAAAAATAGGCCACACCTACCAATGACAAACACCTTATTTATTTTTTAAACTAAGAACGTGTTATAAAGAACCCGGAGTAGCCTAATTTTCCAGTCAGCGCCATTTTTATATGAACCTTCTAATAGCCTAGCTTGGAAAACCTTAGGTTCGTACACGCGGGTTTTTACATAAATTCAAGGTCAATACGCCAAGTATACTATTAAGTGTTAACTCAGACGCCTTGTCACCAAGTCTATTAAAGCTTTGGGGTTTAATGGATCTTTATGCTATCTCAGATACCTAATAGCTTCATTGTGTTTGAAAAACAACCTCTTTAATGGGTACCTCAGGCCTTACTTTCAAATGCCGCGGTGGGCGCTGTCCATATCTATAAAGAATATATATCTGTTCAATACACCAACAGATGGCCATTTTCAATCAAACTCTACTTTCATTTCCAATTTGTAATTTCATTTGCAATTCCTTCAAGCATTCAGAAAATTTACTTTTTCACTGTTGATCCCTCTTTAGGAAAATATTATTATTTTTAGAATAATGAAACACTTTAACTAGAATATATGCTGGGAAGTAAATTCTTTTAAATACGAACGGCAGAGCCCGCGCCATAAATAAAATCAGGCATCAACTGTCGCTTCATTTTGCATTTAGAGATGCAGTAAAAAAGTAAGTCGTTAATGATCTCCAAGACAGATATAATAAGCTTTTGCTTTGAGAGTACAATAAAACGTTGTTAATCCCGAGCTGAGGGCAAGCTTTGTTGACCGCATTTTTATTCATTTTTATTCAAAATTAATAAAACCTCTACCCATGAAGTGCCAAAAACAACGCCTTTTTTGTGTGTATGTATGTAGCATTTGAAATACACCTGCAAACATTGTACGCCTGTTGGCCTAGCATACAGTACCCTGAATAAGCGCTAATCAAGGAAGAATTAAGCGTACATTTTTATTGCTTGCAATAACAAAATTCTCAAAGTCCATCTGTTGGAAATTCAATTCGGTGTTTTAATTGAACAGCCTGAGGAGCTTTCTTGGTAATCGAACGTGAAGTTTATCAAATTGTCGCCGAAAACATTATCGGAAGGATATTGACAACAATTTTTATTTAACTTATTCATACTCGATGTCGTCTTACAGTTGCCCAAAAAACGAGCATTTTTCTTCGCAAATAAAAGAAAAATTCATTCTGATCCTTTAAATTGAAGACTCGAAAGAGGGGCAAAGCATAAAACCAGATACACAACGACAGACTTTAATTTTTCTCTTTCCAATAAAATAATTAACTTTGTATCATTAATATACGTATCGAAATCAATTTCGGTTTGTATTTAAAACAAATTTATTCTCTCGGAAGCCTTGAGCATATTTTCATTATCGAACAACATCGCAAAAAAAGATTTTGACAGCTGTTGTTCTATTTTCATTTCCTCTGCAGAAATTTTCGACCTGCAAACACTCGCGATTTATTAACTAGGAAATTGTCTTGTTATCATTCATTCGCGACAGAAAATTTCGCAATTTGCCAATTTTATCATACAATCTTGTCAGACTAATACATTTCTTTAATAACTTGCCTTTATAAAAATCTGTTTGCTGTCCGCGAGAAAAGGAAGCTTTTGAGCTGGACGCAGGTGACATTACTGATTGATGGACAGGTTCTGGTGTTTAATACAGTATAGTTTTATGTTATTTAATTTGACAAACCACCGGTATCGGTCCTTAATTTTGCTTAATACTTTTTATTCACTACAGTCTTGTCCGTCGGATCTACATGCATTCAAAGGCGAAGCATAAGGTCTCAAGTTATGGCCCTCTTCTCGTGGTTATGATGTCGAACCAGTTGTCAACAACGAGTTAAAAAGAAAAGCTGATCCAACAAGAAGTGACACAGATCAATCACAGATTGGAGTTTTAACATATATCCACAACTGACTTTTGACTTCTTGCAAACGATTTTTTTCGTTTGGCCGAATCGCCAAACACGTTAACTTTAAAGTGTTGCCGGTGTTCCTTATGAATAACACAGAAACATCTCTTGAGGATCATGACAATGGCACGCACTCTTCAGCTAAGCGCGCTTTTGTTCAAAGCGACATCACAACAGGAATTGTAGTAAACGCCTTTTTGATGTTCCTCATCGTGGGTGGAAATTTTCTCGTGATCGCAGCTTACGCAAGCAACCGTCGACTTCGCATCGGAACGTATTCACTTTTGGTGAGCTTAGCGTTTTCAGATTTGCTTGTGGGTGGTGTTTCAGTTCCCATAAGGATATACGGTACCGCCAAAGGCTGGGACGTTCCGGCGCATATATCAATTATCTACACCGCTATCGACATCTTTAGTGCTATAGCCTCAAATCTTCACCTTATGGCTATATCATTTGAGCGTTTCATCGCGGTGTCAAGACCGTTTTATTATCAGACGCTTTCTGTCCGACCGTACGCTTTTGGCTCCGCCGTGTCATGGGGCTTGGCAGTGTTAGTAGCCGCTCTCCATCCAGGAAATTATCTCCAAGATGGACCGCTGAAACTTAAATTCTCCAATGCTTATTCTGTTACTCTATTTGCCGTGTGCTTTTTAGCGCCTCTGGTGGTCATCAGTATTGTAAATATTGGGATATTTCGCGTAGCGAAGATTTTAATCCAGCGCGTCCCGGAACACGGAAGCGGCAATCGGCTGAAGAGAGAACGTAAAACGGCATTCACCCTTCTGCTAATGACAAGTCTTTTCTTTATCGCTTGGTTTCCTTTTTTCGTCGTGAATATGCTGTACCTGTACTGTCTTCCATGCCTTCCGTCTACACTGGAGTCCCAGTTTTTCATGGTTGATATCCTGAAGTGGTTGCAATATTCAAACAGCGCAGTCAATCCGATAATTTATGCCTTTCGGGACACCGAGATGCGGAGATCATTTGCCCGCCTTCTTGGTCCTTTTGGAAGACTTTGTAGAATTAATCAAGTAGCGCCAGAACTTCACTCTCAATTTTCCTTGGAAACGAGGACACGGAAGTCAATTTTACGTAACATTATGGATAAAAGTTATATGAAAAAACATGACTTTCTTAAAAGGACTTGAGCGCTTCACAAATTGAATTTTCCTTGGTGAACAAAGCGCGGACAACCTGTCCCTGCTACAAAATGGTACAAAGAAAGAATGTGTTCAATATAATAAATTCTAAAGCGGACTTTGAAAAATTAAGAAAATTCCCAAATTAGGTTTTGTGAAAAAAAAATTTAACGCTAAGCAAATTGCTTATCTCTAACGAATAAATTGAGGGTGTAGGATATGTACATTATGACAAAAAACATATATCAACATGTGTCTTATTCTTATCTTAACGAAATTAACACAAATTCCCATCCCTAGATAACTTGGAATTTTTTTTTTTCAATTACCTGATGATGCATGTGCAAAATAACTAGAAACCGAGGAACATTATATAATTGAACTGCGTGAAAAACAATTTTAAAATTTGTTTAGCTGACCTACTACTAAAACAACAACAACGACCACAATCGTACAGTCCGTACAGATCAGTTGATGAAAAAAGCTCTACATATAGACCTCAACGTTTCGGGTCTTGGTATATACCCACCCCTATTCACCTCCTTTTCGGGGGATAGTTGTATGCTATTCGAAAAGAGATGTGAGGTCAAAACACCCACCTAACTGATATTTAAAGGCTGATCTCTAATTGATGACCGTGATCTCGAGAAATCACCCATGAAAATACTGACTAGTTTAATTCTTTTTTTTCCTTCTTTTTTATTACCTTATTTATCAGTAATGAATTTTATACTTTGTAAAAAATGTTATGGCTATGTAAGTATTAAAGTTATAGTAGTAATTAGAGCAACTAAAGGTCATCACGTAGCAAAGAAAGACAAGTAATTAATACCTGTCATTTTGATAGAAATGTCACAATATCAGTTGGCCAATACGAGGGGGTTCCGCCCAAAAGAGGCAGCTTTTTCTGGGCGGTTTCCAAAAGTCAGAGCTGGCCGGCCGGACAGGTCATTTTGAAAATTAAATATTAGTTTTTTTTTCCTCAAAATTTCCCCCTAAACCCACCATTGTCGACCATACCTAATATATATTAGGCCTTGATGGACTGTGCTAGCATAATTTTTGGCATAATTCGTCATCACAAGCATAATTTTCACCTATTTTCCAATTTCCTATTTTTGTTTACAAAATTGTCGTTTATTGATCGTGCAACCAATGTTTCTGGCCGGACATCAGTGTTACAGGCAAATTTAAGTAACAAAATCAATGTTTTCTCCTCACATTCATGGAACCTTGGACCCACAGGAAGTGACACAGGACTTTTTCCACAGGAGTCAACGCATGTGAATAACTATCTTGGTTACCCAAGATGGCGTCCAATTGCTGGCTGTTAATTGTTTGAGTTTTTATGGTTGTCAGACCATAAATAATAAATAAAATGAAATAAATAGTGATAATGTAAATGGGGTGAATGTGTTTGCCAATTGCTTGTTTGTTGCATAGTTACTGACAGAGGCCAAATTTAAAGTAAAACGTAGGAAGCGTAATCGCTGCATTTGTTGCTAAAATGAACATAATTTATAACAACTAGCGTAACTATTGGCATAATTTTAGAAATACAAGCACTGCTAGTTGCATTTAATGCCACTTTTGCCAGCACTGAATCTATCAAAGCCTACATACCAGGAAAAAATAGACTAATTTTGTTGGGTAGTCATGATTAATAGCAAATGGAAAGCGCCCCCGGACGTCAGGTATATAAAAGAGTAGGGATTTCACCAGCTGAAGTATATAACTGAAAGGATAGAGAAATTCTGTCATCTCGGTCTATAAAAGGCCCTTGAAGGGCTAACTGACGGGGTTTAGTGATTTATTCTTCTTCAAAAGACAGCGCACTGTTTATAGTTTCATTATGGCTCTTGACAACAGTTAAAAGGGATGCAACGTTGCAAACTAGGTATGTGACAGGGGTACCATTCGTCAATAGTAGGTATACGATAGGTGTACCTTTTCTGTCGCAAATGGTACATGTATATGAAAGGGTAAGGGGTTGGACCTCGGGGCGAAGTCTCCCCACATAGAACATTTTTTAGTAGCCCTTCTAAGCGAGTTGGGGGCTTATCATTTTTTTAAGGTATCGTTTTGAAAATAGAGAATTTAGGAGTTGTTAGAGATAACTCTGAACATGCTAGAACATAGCGAGGTGAAAATAGTTTTAACTTTCTTTTAGCTAGGGGAACAACCTGTGTCTATGTATCCCCTGTCATAAAGCCGCAAAACAAGCTGGAGACATCTGCATGAGGGCGCTTAATACAGCGTTAAATGTATGTAATTTTTTGGTCTCAGTCTAGAATTCTCTATGCAAAACCACCATGAATAGTTCTTTATTAACTGTATCTGTGACCTGTTTCCCATTGTATGGCATAAAAAAGGAGTGAATCCTAACTTTATCGCCATATCACAGTGACCTCTGCGCCAGAGGAGCCTGGGAAAGGCAGCTAGAAAGCGCGCACGGAAAGGGAAAGATGAAAAGTGGAAGAAGCCGAGGCGAGGCCTTTTTTTTACTGCCGTCAAACAAGAGAAATTGTAAAAGCTTAAAAAGATATTTCAAAGCTAAAGTTATTATTTTCACTGCTCAAAAGTCTAAGGCCAGGCTAGTTATTTAAACGGAGTTTAGCTAGTGCCGAGCCCATGAAATTTGATGGGCTCCTGCTTGTGCTAAACAGAAACGTGGTCTAAGGCCTCATTTTCAGTTTGCCAAACGCAAACTCGGATTAAGTCTAAGAATTGCAACGCAAGTTAGATAACAGACTGAGTTTTAAACACAGGTTTTTAGTAATATCCAGTAACAAAGCATTTCGTGCAAGAACGCGCGAGCAAGCTGCAAAAATGTGAGGCGAGGAGGAAATCCGGATGGCTTGTGACCCTCGGAATGGTTGCATCTTTATAATTCACGAGGTTTTCACCTGCGATATATACAAGACTCCTAAAAAGCGGAACACAAGGTTGGTTTCTACTGAGACTAAACAACACTGTACATTTGGGTAAGTCATCTGGCCACAAGTCTCGTCTAGAAGAGTTTGGTTAGATACACCTAATTGTAACAATCTAGCTTGCCATAGAGAAAAGCAAAAACAAAAAAGGCTAATAAAGAGTAATTAGCTATGCAAATAACAGAGTGATATTTTGATATCCTGAAAGCCGTTTTTAGTTCGGTATATTACTTCAATTTGACATCAGTTGGTCCAGGAGCGTAGCGTCCACGTACACAAATACGCGCGTGCGTTCAGATGAAATCTGGAAACTTTTATTACTATTTTGTAAAAGCATTTTTACCATTAAGTTCTAATGAGTGATAAATCTCTCGCATTAAATATATTGGTGTCTTCCGCCCCTCTGAGAGGTAGACCTTTCGTCCTTTGCTTGTAACTTCCTTGATGGCATCACTGTTTTACCCTTTATTTCGTAAACAATACATTATCGATATTACTAGAGATGTAAAATACCCTGAACAGACAAATAATTGTTACATTTTTCTTCGCGTTTATTCAATGAAAATATCCTGCGGAAAACGCAGGGAATGACATTTCAGAACCCCTAAATTTGGAAACTTTTTGATGGTGCATGCCTCCACATCCCCCTAATTTAGAGTGCCCTCGTCAGTTTAACTCTTCTTTCCGTGCGTACACCTTCAAAGTCTCATGATTGTCGAGTTAAGAGAAGGTAAATTGGCCACCATAAAAGAGTTTTTAGTTTCATCCTTAATAAATTATTCGACCAGATCCCTAAATGTATAGAGCGTGTCTATTCCTATTGTTGCGAAGTATTTTGAAAGTTATTTTTAAGACGGATCCATCTTATCTTTTAAGTGTAGTTTTTGTTTCATTAAGTCTTGTTTTTGTCCACGTACTGTTTTCCTGTTTTGATGTTTTGTTTTTACTTGTACTTGAATTTATGCTTAGCTCGGGAATTTGCTTATTGTCATATTAGAAATGTTATTCGCTTGGCATTGTCAGATGTTAGTTTTTTACAGGTGGTCGTGTTTTGTTTGGTTCTTTGGTACTTGTCAGTTTCGACTGTGCGTAAGCTAATCTATTCCCTAACAATAGCAAACCTGTTGCAATGTTAGCGATAAAATATTCAATACTGAAGGTCTCCCGGCCAGCTAACCCAAACATTTCCAGCCTTGGCTATAAAAACCGCTACTATACTTGAACTAGTAAGTGGAGAAGAGTAGTGGAAGTTAGTAGAAGAAAGTTAGTGTAAAAGTGGAAGAGTTACTGAGAAGAGTAAGAAGATTACGAAGAATAAAGGAAAGCTGTAAATCAGATTAATTTTTAACTTTTTCGTTAACCGTAATTGAAAAAAATTAACCGATAGCCGTAAAAGAGCCAAAATTTTAGCCGATAACCGTAAAAGCCACCACCCCATTGAGACCCTCTGTTATTTAAAGGCTGATCTCTAATTGATGACCGTGATCTCGAGAAATCACCCATGAAAATAATGACTAGTTTAATTCTTTTTTTTCCTTCTTTTTTATTACCTTATTTATCAGTAATAAATTTTATACTTTGTAAAAAATGTTATCGCTATGTAAGTATTAAAGTTATAGTAGTAATTAGAACAACTAAAGGTCATCACTAAGCAAAGAAAGACAAGTAATTAATACCTGTCATTTTGATAGAAATGTCACAATGTCAGTTGGCCAATACGAGGAGGTTCCGCCCAAAAGAGGCAGCTTTTTCAGGGCGCCTTCCAAAAGTCAGAGCTGGCCGGCCGGACAGGTCATTTTGAAAATTAAATATTAGTTTTTTTTCCTCAAAATTTTCCCTGAAACCCACCATTGTCGACCATACCTAACTATATAAGGCTTTGATAGACTGTGCTAGCATAATTTTTGGCATAATTCGTCGTCACATGCATAATTTTCACCTATTTTCCAAAAAAAAGCACTACTAGCATAATTTGCTCTTTTGGCTTGTTTACAAAATTGTCGTTTATTG